AATTTATATAGTGCCAACAGATTCAGTAGCACTTTACAATATTTGCAGAAGTAAAACTCCCATTTTTCCTTGGTGTTATGAAACTAACGCATCCGCATCAATCCAGTCACAGGGACCTTTGGTGCATCCACTTGAATTCAAAGTCCTTTTCAACAGTCCAATTTTCATGCTCCTGCGTCAGTTCTACCAGGGCGCCAGGGTCCTGGCTGAAATTTAGATGTAGTCACTTGAATTCAGAAAGCATTGTATTGGTTTGAACACAGCATTATTGTCATTATGTCATGCCATTCTCTACAATCTAAAATAAATCATGTGAGCCTCAACTTTCGTGTCTTTTTATATTTTTCTTTATTATCAGCATCCTGTTTGACATACTGCGCATGCGTTATTGTCACCAAACTGACTCAAGGGCCGATTTAACTCATGTAATCTATGGTCCAGTGTCCTGTCATGGTTTATATAGCCCTTAAACGAGTTTGGTACTATTCCTGAATTCTGTTACGAATATTGATTTAGATTTGTTCTAGTTCTGTTTCCCATATTCCTGACCCAACTGCGTATTAACCATGAGTATTGATGTCCTGTCTTTGTGTTTCAAACCTGGTTACATCATTGACCACAAGTTTTTTCCTGTATCCAGTTACCAGACCCGGAGCTATCTTAGAACTTGAATTTGCTTATTGATTTCTATTATGTTGTATTTTATGTACTCCTCTTGGTCTGATGTTGAACAGGTTAAGCGCTAATACTTCCTATTTTTGTCTAGTGTTAAGTCTGGCCACTCTAAGTTCTGGTAATATACATGTCTATCCTATCTCTCTGTGACTTTTAGTAGGATTGCTAACTTTTATCTTGCTGAGGATCCTCTCGTATCCTGACATTTGGTTAACTTAAACTCTGTCAAAAAATCGTGGAAAATGATCAAACATTTAGTCAACTGTTACGAAGAGGTTATGCCCATGTAATAGATACTACGTAAACCAGTTGTTATCTCTATATTAATTTTGTATCCTATTTTATACCCTCCCCAATTCAGCAGAGAATAGAAGCCCAATCCTTCTCCATAAAAATCATGATGGAGTGAAGTTCTTGTTGGACTGTTGTATGTAAACGTGTGTAGAGAGGATGAGTGTGTCTTTGTAGGAGGTTGACAGCTGTATGTACGGAGGTCTGAGTGTTGTGTGAATCACCTGCTTACTTTCCCTGGTTGTCAGGTGGTGACTATTCTTTGAATGGTAGAACAATAAGTAAGGAGATAAAGGTTGCGCCAAAAAATGTCTACAAATAAACGTGCCAAGACACAAAATGTATAAAAAGAGCCAGTAAAATGACCAAAAGGCTTATGGGTGACAATAGATAGCAGTGGGTGATGGTCAACAATAAAAAATCTGAAAAAAGAGTCCCTGTGCAAACTTGCCAGAGGAACAACCAACAATCTGTAAGAAGGAGTAGTCTATGAGGGAGCTGGGTCGGAGGATGGTATTCTATAGTTCTTGAAATACGTATGTGGAGACAAAGAAAAGATGATGGTGCAATAAATCCTACTAAAAGATGATATCCATAAATAAAAGAGTCTTATGTAGTCCTACTCACGTGTAATAGAGCTTACAACCAGCTCTAGTATGAATGGCGTACAGCGGTACAATCCCCACTTATAGGATATGTGAAGAGGTGTGAATGTCACAGCAATGTAAAGACCATAAAAATTTTTAAAAGAAACAAATAATAGTGCTCACTGTATAAAAGATGGTAGGTGTATAAATAGAAAGGTGTTTACATTTGATTGAACAGGAGAACTACTCAATGGTTCAGGAGTAAGTGGTATAATCCCCACCTTAGATTTCTTTGGAATAATACTTGACTGGAACAATAAAATTGGGGTACCAGGCAGTACTAGAGTTAAAAGAAATAAAATAGTAGCAAAAAAGCAATAAAAAAGTAAAATGGCGCAATAACTGAATAAAAATATCCAAAATGATTTATTAATTTATTAATACACAATATTAAAATATCCACAATGCGTTTCACCTTATGAGGCTCAAGTTGAGATAAAAAAAAAAAAACGTACCGCTTCTTCTGGAGAACGTTCGAATCAACACCCGAACTGCGATCTATAATCACTCAGCCTCTAGCAGTTCGGGAGGAAACAAACGAATGGGTATCTGAAATACCAGCGTTCGTTACACACTCCTCTAGGGGGTATAGTACCAGGTAACAAATCTATAGAGCAATCATAAGATATGTGAGGAGGTAAAGTATCAGTATGAACCTTATTAAATACTTCTTTAACCTCCATATAATGTACAGGAATCTCAGTAGAAAGAGGAGTAGTAGGCAGATTAACGGTATCCAATCTCCTTGTTACGGGTACCATACACTTTTCTCTACATTCCTTACCCCATCCCAGTATTTCCCCTTTGACCCAATCAAGATGAGGATTGTGCTTAATAAGCCATGGGAAACCAAGGATAATAGGACAAGAAGGGGAAGAAATTATCTGGAAGGTGATGCATTCTTTGTACAAAGCCCCTATCATAACGATGATAGGAAATGTATCATGAGTAATAAGAGGTTGAGAAAGTGGTCTACCATCTATGGCCTCAATGGCCAAAGGTGTGGATTTCTCTTTGAAAGGTAAGAGGTGTTTGCTAGCGAACTGTACATCGTTAAAGTTTTCTGTAGCACCTGAACCAATCAAGGCATCACAAGTAAAACTTATTTTATTATACTGAGCAGTAAGACAAAGGAGAAATCTACTTTGAGGCATACCAGGGGACATGTACATCACACTTAAGGCTGGTCCCCGGACGGTTCTTAGGTGTGCAAGTTTTCCGGACCTGTTGGACAAGTTTTCCTTAGGTGTCCCTTCTAACCACAGTATAAGCAAAGGCCCTCATTTCTCCTAAATTGTTTCTCTGCCTCAGATAATTTCATAACCCCTAAACTGCATATGTTCAGGTTCAGAAGGGGTAGGCAAAACAGGAGTTGAGAAGCGAGGTGCAAGTGACATGTTAAAATGCCTGGTTCTGTTTCTAGTTCTCTCCCTATCCCTGAGTTGATTGTCAATATGCTTCATATAAGTGATTTAATCATTTAACTGTTCAGGTAATTCTTTAGCTGCAGTCTCATCACGAATAGCATTGGATAACCCTTCCGAAAATGCAGTGATTAATCCACTATTAGTCCAGTCTACCTCAGAAGCCAGAGTATGGAATTCAATAGCGTAATCTCTTGATTATATATTTCCTACCTGTTCTGTTAAATTTTGTATATATTGTGTATTAATATTGTTTTTGTATTGTACCCCAATGTATCAATGCAATATTTTGTGGACCCAGGACATACTTGAAAACGAGAGAAATCTCAATGTATCTTTCATTGTAAAATATTTTATAAATAAATAAATAAAAACAACAGAGCGGTTACCTTGCTTAATACACATTAGGGCTTTGGCAGCATTCTTTTCTTTCCCTAATGGTTCAAATGTTAATTTAAATTTAGTAAGGAATTCCTTGTAATCATAGGCAATAGATTTGTTACTCTCCCATAATGGATTGGCCCAAGTTAAGGCTTTACCCGTTAACTGATTCATCAAGTAACCAATTTTAGCTCTATCAGAGGGGAAAGACCCAGATGAGGCCTCAAAATGATATTCCATTTGATTAAGAAATCCCCTACATTCTTGTGCATCACCTCCAAAATGAGGAGGTGGTGATAGGGAGATAGAAGGTGCCTTATATACAGTAGGTATAGTCGCCATAGGAGGGGGAGGCCCTGATGGTGGATCTTCAGGCTGAAGATGAGCTGTACGGACTAGGAGCATTTGGAAAGCCTGGGCAAATTGATCCATGCGGTGATCATTGTCCTCTAGCCTCCTCTCGCAAACCAACATGTGTTAACATAATTCTGCAGGGTCTATGACCCTGTCGTAATGTCACGATTACTATATGACCCAACACGCAGAACTATGTAAAACACAATGAACAAGGATAACATATACCGGGCCTTCGAATGGCCGGACGTAACGTAAATAAGGAATGGTCAAAATACTAGCCAAGGCCAGGGACACAGAAAGAGACTCAACGAGGAAACAAGCCAAATGTCAAGGATGCCAGAAATACGGGAATGTCAAAATACAAGCCAAAGTATTTTTTATTTGAGTGGAATAAAGTTGTTATATTATTATTCTTGGCCGTCCATCTAATCTATCAAGGAAGTTATTCCTGGGTGCACTGACATACAGTGAATAAGCGCAAATAGCCTGAGCAGTCTCTTTACCTGCTCTTTTTTTTGTGAGTGTGATAATCTACCTCTTTTTAACTATATATAATTATATTTGCAATATTATACTATTTTGCTTTTATGTATTTTTTTCACGTGGAAAAATCAACTCTCTACGAACAAAGTTTTGGAGTGAAATAGCAAATTTATCTTGCACATTGGTTTTAAGTATTGACTTACACAAAGTTTATAATGCACTTTTAATATTTATACATTTCTTTATTTAATATTTCTGCAGTGCATAAGGTGAGTACATACAGACCTCTGGCTTCTTAGCTCACTTAACAATCAGGGTATTAGATTTAGCATGCACTATTTTATTTTATAAGTATCACGCTTGAAGTTGTATAGTGTTAGAAACTTAACATGAGTAGATCAGGTAAGGTAGCTAAAACATGGATGAACTGCTTGAATATTAATTAGATGCTGAGTTACATGCTAGATAAGACACCCTTGCAATTGCTTGTGTAGTTACTGCTCGACTGCCTGTTAAGCATATCACAGTGGGCATAGTTTAATTACCAGCTGTGTGGTTGCATGCTAGATAAACCAGCTTATTGTGTAAACCACTGGGGTCGAGCCCACTGCTTTGCCGATACACAATTAATTCAAATGCATAGCTAAGTCAAATAGGAGGCATTTAAAACAAAATAAGTGGGCAACAGGCCTAAAATAAAGCTTAACTGGTGGCATATCGGGTATTGTGTGGAAGTTGCCATCTAGGCCGGTTGCAGGAGGGTCGTGTGCTTGGCCTCTGTGGAACAGTCCGTCTCCTTGGCAAGATTTTCATCCAATTCCTCGGCTGGGCATTGCTTGTAGAGTGTGATTGAGTCCATCAAAGGTGGTCCAGCAACAAGCCTCATGTGCGGTGCGCCCTCGTTCTGGGCCCTGTGTGCAGCCAGCTGCGCTTGTTACAGGACAGGATACAGAGGTGGTGGTTCGTCGGGGGCGAGGTGAGTCCTCCCTCCAGCCCCAGGCCAGTATGAAGGCCTATATCCTTCAACCACGGACCCGGTCTCCTCTATGGACGGAGTCCTTCCCATGGTGGGAGTAACGGGGGGACATGATGGTCTGCCGCCGTATGTGGTGGACGTCTCTCCGCCCAGGTGGGCTAGTGATATGAGGTGCAGGCTTGTCTGGTTGCATTAGGCCAGAGGGGGTCCTCTGCTCCCTCCGTTTCTCTCTGCTCTGTTTTCTTACTCAAGGTTCGGAGCGGTTTTAATGATTGGTGGTTCTCCAGGGCTACCCAGAACTGTTGGAAGTGCTCATTCAGCCACTGTAGTATGCGGTCCACAGAGCAAAGGGCTGGTGCACGCTGCTCGTGTGCCGTATCTTCAGGCCATGTCTCAGGTGCCATCTTGAGTCGGCTCTCCTCGCTTAGTTGGCCCCGTTCTGGGTCTGTATGCCAGTGCCGTGTCACTTGATTTGGGAAGTCGAGTAGGGACCGGGATGACCCCCGCCAGTCCAGGGGGGGGGGGGAGGTAGGAGAGTGCGTGGTCTCGGGAGTTACCGGTAAGCGGGGAGTTCGGCCGCCGCTCCCCAGCTCTGATGTAGTAGGCCGCAACGGTGTCTCTCCGGTCTCTAATGACCAATCGGTTTGGCAAGGTCTTGGGATTTGTCGCTTGGTCCCCTCTGGGCTCTGTACTGCCCGCCAGTGGGTTTAGTCGCTGATTTGCCGGGGTTAAAACCTCTTTATTTGCCTTTTCAGCAGGAGTTCGGGACACACACGTCTGCTCCTTTTGACGGCTAGGCTCTACCCCCATATTTAAACATTTTAACGTGGAATGGTGCAATAATATTTGCACATATATCTTGCAGTGTGTTTGCACAGAAATATTGCACAAAATACTGTTTTCCTGCACGAGGAACTATAATTTTATTGTGAGCACAAGCACTCTGTTGCATTAAATTGTTTTTCTTGATGGGGTTGTTTGCAATACACAAGATTTTTTTGTGAGCACAATCTTTAAAGGCACAGCTTACTTTATATTTGTTTTTGTTTAGAATTGAGTGTTGGAGTTGGAGAGCTAATACACTAATAAGGTGCTGCTAATACAAAAGGTTTTTATAATAAGGTGAAACATTTATTTATTTAGCGACATCTATAGCTTGCTTCATTGTTTTTTTTAATTCTAGATATCAGACTAAAGAACATTTAGAAATATCACCCTGTGGGCTCGAAGGCTAGTATGGTACTGCCACATATAAGGTGGGTGTTACATTATATGCTTAAAATAAAATTTTCCCTTTTATTAATCAATGTTTTAAAAAACTATCTTTAAATATTTATATTAGTTTGTGTGTAGATTATCATTAGTTTGGTCACCCAAATAGAAATGTGATTTTACATTGGAATAAAAAAATAATGTTTCCCCCTTTTGCAATGCATTTTTAAAAAGCTTAAAGAAATAGTCATGTATATATGTTTTAACTAGCTGTGTAGGTTTTATTTTGTGCTGTTTAATACTGTAGTATATTACATCCTTTATCAAGATTCTGTATAACAATAGGAATGCGTAAAAAAGGAAAAGTCTCCATCTATTGAATTTACTGTTGTTAATGAAATACCCAGAATCAAGTGACATATTCCATGTTTAAATTTAACATGACATTTTTCATTTTCACATTTAACATATGTTAATATCTCATTTTATTCTAATGATCAGCAAGTTTATGACATCACAATGCGCTCATGACATAACACAAGTACTATATACACAAAGATTCCGTACACTGATCAGAGCATTTTAACTCTTGGTACGTGGTAGTGTGTATTTTACAAACTCTGTACGTATCATGTTTCCAAAAGCTGTTGTGGTTATAGCCTTTGGGCTAGCATTTGCCGGATGGCAATATTTGAAAAAACGTAGAAAGGAAAGAGAGGATGAGGAAAAGAAAGAACCCACTCCAGACATTAAGGGGATGGGAAAAATAAGTATTCTGAAAAGAAAGATTAAAAGAGGATATAAAGAAGTCGATCAGAGCCTGAAATTGAGCAAGAAAGAGAAAAATGAGACAAAAAGACCAAAAAAAGAAAGGTCATCGAAGAAAAAAGCCAAGGCTCGAAGGAGAGATAAACAAAGACAAAAAAATAGAGGAAAATGGGAAGAGGAAAGAATAGGCGGTAAGGAGATAGAAAATGTATTAAAACAGCCTATTACTTTTTGTCTGTCACCAACTTTATCTTTCTACTCCTCTCACATAGCATTTACTGGTCAATGACTAGGAGGCATGTAGAAATGAATATGGACATGTAAATGTGGGTGTTAATAATATTTGTCTTTATCTCATAGGTGGAATCCATGAGAAGTTATCTGGCAGAGAGTTGTCTCTGACACCATTGGACTTTAGTTTCCCTCATGAGCTAGGGAGTGATATTCTGTCCCTGAAAGTGTCCGACTTCGAGTTCCACCGTGAGCTGGGAAGAGGAGGCTTTGGAAAGGTGAGACATGTGTCTCCTTTTGGTGGAAACACCTCTTTATATTATTAGGGATTAGAAATCCTGATACAATACGTGTTGTATAAGAAAGTCCATTGGCTTCATAGCCCAATTTATATATCACAGATTTTTGTTTTGTTTTTTAATGTGCAAAACATACACAATGAACATTTACCTATGTATGGCTTCTTGATTGCTTTAAAATCCATTGCAGGAGATTTAACTGATTTGTGGCTTTCGCTGATGCCATATATTCTTTGCACTTTAATTAATTAGGGTTATTCCATACACCTGAAATGCAGCTAGAAAATCTCTCCGTTTTAGCTATTTGGCTAATTTGTTCTGAAAGTTTGAATTTTCTGGTGAATGCTTGACAATTACCAGTTACGTAAATAACTCTCTTAGTATCTAATGAAATTCAGTATCAGTTTATCAGAAAGACAGATACGCATATTTTTGTTTATTACATGTTATTTGACATGTTATTCTACAAAACACTGAAAAGGTGGTGATCTGGAGAAAAACTTCAAAAAACATGACTCCCTCTTTGACAAATGGTAAACAGAGTCACAATCTAGTCATATTGCTGCATTCACTGATATAAATTGTATTAAATAGAAATGATAGACTGAGAATCATAGCGTGGTCCATTTGGCATTCATGTAGTAGACACTTTAACGATATCTCATTTACCTGTCTCTCTCAGGTCATGCTAGCCTCATGCAAAAGAACACAACATCTTGTGGCCATGAAGGTTATGAATAAAAGTCCTGCATTGACCACCTGCATTCTCACAGAGCGGCGCACGCTTGAACTTGCTGGAGGTTGCCCGTTCCTCTGTGAGGGCCTTGCTGCCTTTCAGACCCAGGTACAGAATTGTTTGTCTTTATTTCTACAACCTTATCAAATCTTCAAGTATGCCTTCCGCCTGTATTGTCAGCCATGTTTACATGCCATATCTGTTTGCAACTGTGTTAGTCTTCATGTATTTATAATACTTTGTTCTGGTGTTTTTTTCCAAACAGAAGCACGTGTTCTTTGTCATGGAATACATGCGTGGTGGCAGTCTGTATTACTATTTGGAGAAGAGATCATGTCTGGAAACGTACGAGGCTGTGTGAGTAAAGGGGGGAAAGAAAGATTAGAGCTGGGAGAAATAGCAGGGAAAATATGATCGGTGTAAGAGTCACTCCTACAGCCTATTAATTCCAGCGCCCTAGTGGATTTATTTTATAAAGAAACTGTGGAAAATTGACACGGCAATTACACATATTAGGATAAAATAGCCAAATTGAAAAACAAATTATACTTTCGCAAAAAAGTTAGAATTCCCTTCTAATTTGATAGTTTGTTGAATAAACTTTATTGGTCCTCATGTGTTTTTATTAATTAGGATAGATTCATTTAAGCTCTTTTTTTCCCAATTTTATCAGGTTTTATTCAGCAGAAATTGTCTGTGGCCTTCAGTTCCTGCATAGCCGTGGAATTGTTCATCGGTGAGTCCATGAGAGATTCCTTTTCTGTTCTTTCTCATATTGATCCACTCTATCATTCTTTCTGAGCTATGAGTCACTCACTGTAGTGCTTCTCTCTGTATCTCTGTATATTAGCTGTATTCCCACACCTCTCTGCTCTGCCTTCTTCCTCTCTGTGTATACTAGTAGTATTCATTCTCTCCATTCATTCTCTTATCTGCCATCTTTGTCTCTGGCTGTTGTTGCCTTTCTCACTTTTTAACTCAATCCCTCTACCTATCACTCTCTGCGGTGTTCAACCCTGTGATTTTTTCACCCATTTTGCCACACTATTTACGAACGTTCAATTCACAAACAATTTTCTTTACTTTAGTGATCTGAAGCCAGATAACATATTACTAGATGGAGATGGTCACGCAAGGATAGCGGATTTTGGCTTGGTGGAAGAAAACATGTACAAGGGCAAAAAAGCCATTGGAAAGGCCGGGACCACTATTTACATGGCCCCTGAGGTAGGTTAATCACCAATATGTTTATTTCCTATATTCTTCTGTGATGTGTAAAGCTTGAGATCTGCTGTAAAGAATGTCTGATATTCTGAACTAGCTCCTCTGTATTGTCCGATGTTTTGTATTTATTATAGTTTGCTAAATGGACATTCCAGGGCAGATTTTAGCACAACGTTTTGGTTAAAATTAGCTGAGATGGAAAGATAGCTGACTTGAAGATTTCTTTCCAATTCAATTGTTTCGAATTTAAAATGAGCAATTTCTGATATCTTACATATTAGTAAATAAACCTGTCTACTGTTAATTTCTAACGGGCATCCGTACACTGAATCAATAAGAACAGTTTTCCCAACCAGAAGCAAGCCCAAAAAAAAGGCTTCCATATACTTGCAAAATTGCTTTCCATGCATTTCTTACCAGTGCATGGGTGGCATTGTGTTGTGTATGTGTCATGATCTCGTGCAGGTCAGGTAAGAGACTTATAACAGGGTTAACATTTGACTGTTTATCGGAGTCTTTAGACATATTTACAAACAAAAAGTATAGGATAGGATCCTGACAATATGTTTTAAACATCTTTCCTTACAATGAAATGTTGTATACCTACATTAAATAGACAAACTACAATAAAAGTGACACTGTGTCTGATATTAATACATGTTCCTTTTACAGTTACTAGCAGATAAAGAATTTGATGCTGCAGTGGATTGGTGGTCGCTCGGCATAATTATCTGCGAGATGCTGGTCGGTGACCACCCTTATGATAGATTACTGTCGTCAAACCAATTCCGGTATTCTGTTATCATGCGGAAGCCTCAATACCCCGACTGGGTCACCACCAATACAAAAGGCATTGTGTCTAAGGTGAGTATCTACATCTCCTATCAGGTTTAAAGCTCACCACCAATACAAAAGGCATTGTGTCTAAGGTGAGTATCTACATCTCCTATCAGGTTTAAAGCACTACAGAAAGAGGACAGGTGAACTTGTGCCACAGTGAAAAACATCAGGGAATGACACTCAAGGATGTTGAGTGGGGGAGTAAGTGTACATTGATGCAGTTATGGGTCAGGTTGCTCAGCACTTGATGAGAGAAATTAATTCCTCTCCAACATAAACATATATGCTATTAAAACTGTTAAAGTGAACAGAATGTGCAATAACATTTTGAGATTTTATTATTCATGGTTAGTTGTCCAAATGCTAATCTTATTTAATGCATTTGTATTTCCAGCTCCTCATGAAAAATCCCAAATTCCGCCTTGGGGTATATGGAGACATTAGGCGCCACCCATTTTATGGAGACCTATGCTGGGAGGAATTGGAGGCTAAGAAGATTTCACCTCCATATAAGCCATCGGTGGTAAGTATTTATATGAATGTTAGCCCACACTTAACCAATACATTTTATGTAACAACCTATAGTAGCACTCAGTTGATTCTCTTAAAAGGCCAAAATTCATTTTATGCGTTCATTAGAAAGGAATTTAGGGTAGATAAAGAAACCAGATATATTAAAAAAATAACACATGCTCAATGTTTAAAAATGAACAAACAGCTAACTACTACCACCTGTCCGTGAATATTCTTCTGGAAGAAACAAAATATATTTAAGAGTTCTAGAGAATTAAATTAAATTAAGTACTACGTTTTATCATTTTTATTTCAAAAGTAAATTAAATTAATGCATCACGCTATGTCATTTTTGTAATATGAGATCTTTTGTTCTTCCAACAGCAGCCAACTTTGGATTTCAGAAAACAACCACAGAAGAAGCCCCACTCATTTCTGGAGGCCCTGATGAATAACACCTCTTCAGGATACAGACGAGACCTGGTTGGCCTGTCTTTCAGCAGCCCCAGATGGAGGGTCTAGAATTTAACCAAATCTTCTCTGTGAGGAACCTAGTTGGATGTCAGCCACCAGTCCAACATAACACCTTCTCCTGCTTCATACACCAGTGAAGCATAACCCTGTGCTGTATACCACCAAATAGCACGGCATGTTTTCTAGCTTTCAATCAGCCAACCCAACATCTTTTGAAGCAGCATTCCGTCAAACAGACCATCATATCCTGCTGCATTCCATCAAATAATGATGCACTCGATAAAAAATCAAAATCTAGATATTTATTTGAAAATAAAACTTGTAAATATATATATATAAAGACTAAAAACCTGCTCTCTTAGTATTCCTTACATTTCTATCTTGGTTCCTCTCTATGTTAGAAAACAAATATTTTATCTGGCAGTCTACAGTGGCCATTAGGCTAACTAGGAAAATGCTCAATGAACAGTGATGAACAGCATTAGCGTTATTAGTGTAGCATGCCTGAGTACGCTGTACCAGAGGTATACTTAGGTTACTTGGCACCTGCGTCAAAACTGTATGTTGGCACAACCAATCCTTGGAATCCTTTTGTGTGTTGACTCTTCTGTGTGTTGCTTAGCAGCACTCTTCATCAGTGTGTACCTCGATCTGTTCGATGTAAAAAAAACGTCAGTGCTGTACAATAGTCCCCAAAGAGTATATACAGAGGGGAAGTACTTAGTAATAGAATTATTCTTATTGTGCAGAGTTTGCTTTCCACCTCCACAGCGGTGCATAAAGGAGATCAGGGGTGGTCTTTTTGTTTGCTGTGTTGTATCTCAATATGGATTGTACTTTGTATCCAATACTAATAATTACGTTCATGTACCTTAAAAGGATACAGAGAAACGAATATAGTGTAACACAGTTTATTAACATGGAATAAAACCCCAACCCCTAATAAAAATTAGGTCCCCATCGCTGTACCCCTAATTTGAAGATATATGTCTTTATTATGCCAGAAATTTTTTTTGACAGAATAAAATTAATGCACTCTATTTTATATTGTAAATTGTTACAATATTTCTTTTTTGAAATATTCATTTCACATTTTGAATGGGAAGAATATTCTATAATGTGCAACATTTCGTTGGATGTATCTAGAGTTCTACAAATTATCTCAAGTCTACACTCAATGCAAAGTCTGTTTATGTGGACACTTTAAATGTCCGCATCGAAATTCATAACAACGTTACATGTTTAATACAACACTGGATTTGGTCTGAGATCGACAAATTAATTTTATCCACTCAGACAGTTTTAATCTATATCGGGAAATGCTATAGTCATAAATACGCAAATCAGAGGGAACATGTGTCTCTTTAAGAAGAAATCACTTTACACTGCAACACTCTAGGATAGATAGATCGCATTGAAAGGCATCCTCATTATCTTGAGAAAGCCTGCTGAACATGGGCGAAACGCGTGGATCTGAGCAAGGTCTTTATACTTACCGGTACCGACAGACTTTTCCAGTAGTATTGTATTACAGCGTCCCTCCGTTTTGACTTCCATACATTGACACACGGAATGTCCACAGACTAGAGCTACACTGACGGACGGAGTGGTAACATTTGACTTGCACACTGCTTGTCTGTCATATACTGGACTTTTGTGGATATTGGGAATCCATAACCACTTTTTTTTTTTTTTTTTTACTGTGTAAGAGTTTTTATTAGGGGTTGGGGTTTTATTCCATGTTAATAAACTGTGTTACACTATATTTGTTTTTCTGTATCTTTTTAAGGTACATGAACGTAATTATTGGTATTGGATACAAAGTACAATCCATATTGGGATACAACACAGCAAACAAAAAGACCACCGCTGAACCTCCTCTATCTGCCGCTGTGGAGTTAGAAAGTGAACTCTGCACAATAAGAATAATTGTATTACTAAGTACTCACCCTCTGTACATACCCTTTGGAAACTATTGTACAGCGTTGACATTTTTTTACATTGAACATTTTATTTGCAGGTTTGAGGAATAACCTTTCATGTGACAGCTTTGATTTAAGACTTTAATTTATTTATTATGATTCTATATAACTTAGTTGCGCTTTTTTGATTTTATTGTCTCATTTGTGCACCTCGATCTGACTTGTGTGTCTCTCTGATCCCTCGTATTCTCTCTTAACCTCCTGTTTGACTCTTGGCCTCCTTTTACCACCTAGTGTCTTTTATCCCCCCCCCATATCCCTTGTTTAGCTTACCCTACTTTACCCCTTTTGTGTCTCTTACCAACTTTTGTCTTTCATATTCTACCGTCTGCATCTCTTCTCCCTCTTTTGTGTTCTCTTGTCCCCTCCTGTGTGTTTTACCCCTCCCTTTCTCTGTCTAACCCCTCCATATTGTGTATATTGCCCTATTTGACCCTTTTATTTCTCTATAGCCTTCTGTTTTCTTAACCACCCTTTTGAGTTTCTAACCACTCTTTTTTTGTTCTTATCACACCTTTTGTGTCTTAACTCCCCTCCCCCTTTGTCTCATACCCATCTCCTGTGGGGGGTTTTGCCCCTTTGTCTCTCTTACTTTTTTTATGTTTGTTATGCCAGTCTTGTGTCTTTTATGCCCCATCCTTTTGCCCCCTTATATGTCTTATGCCCTCTTGTGTCTCTTACCCTTTTTTGTTTTCTTAACCCCTTTTTTGTGTCTCTTATGACTTTTTGTACTCTTATCCCCTTTTTTGTGTCCTAATCCCCTATTTGTGACTTATCTCTCCTTGTGTCTTTTATGCACCTTTTTGTCTCATACTCCCCCTGCATCTATTACACTTGTCTCATACCCTCCTTTTGTACCTCCTACAGCACCCACTTTTGTATCTTTCATTCTCTCTACCGATTCTCCTAATTTTCTTTATTGTGGCCTTGGTGTTATTTCCGGTGTCACCTGCACACATGTAGCTAATGTCACTAAGCCTATCATAAATTAATATTAACAGCATATTTATGCACATTCACAAAATGCCCCTAAGAGTCTTACCATCTAAGTGCTGGAGGATGAGATACTTACATGCAGATCTGCAGTTTTTTTCTGTAAATCCAGAGCATACACAGAAACATAGAATGTGACGGCAGATAAGAACCATTCGGCCCATCTAGTCTGTGACACAATAAACAGAAGAAGGGCTGCGCCAAGAGGTAGGTATTAATAATAAAAGTAGTAATAATAGTATATACATTAGTCCTAAGACAATATAATAAGTATAGTCTCACTAACTCAGTGGGACAAAAGTTCTAATAAAATCACCAAAAGATGAGATAACCAAAAAATAAAATAAAAGCCAAAAACAAAGTCGCACACAGAGGTAAATGTCTCTATGGAGTGCTGGTTTCTGGGTGTAGTGTCCTCAATTGCTTAAGTTGTTCAGCCTACTTGTTCGTATGTAAAAAGCCACTGGTGTAACAGGTACTGACAAGTGAAGATAAATAAAGGGATAAGTAAGTTCAACTCACATTTAAAAGAGCTATATCCAGCTCAGGTGTGAAGAGCATACAGCAGTATAATCCCCGCTTAAAGGATGTGTGATAGGAGTCCTCCAGACGGGTGATGTCCAACACTCAGGAGAGGAAAAAAATAAAAGACAGCTAATACTGCTCTCAGTAAAATAACAATGCAATAAACACAAGTAAAATTGTACTCACAAGCGTAGTGCAGGCAAACTGCACTATGGAATCAGCGTGGTTTGTATGATCCCCACCTCAGGATATACTTGGAGTCACATGAAGATACAAGTAGGTAAAAGTAGGCCAGGCAAAAAATTCCAAATATAAAAATGTGTCATTCAAAAGATGATTGGCACAATCTTGTAACCAAAAAACCTTTTATTAACAAAATGACACAATAAATATAACCATAACATGTTTCACCACTAGGGTTTTTTCAAATGGGATAACATTTCAAACCTGGCTATTCTGAGTATATATAGGGTGCTAATTGCTTAAAATTGGTGCCAAAAATTAAACTACAGACTTCTGCAGCCAATAGGATACAAGAATATACATACATAGTTAAAACAAACAAAGTGTAACTGATTTCAACACTAATGAAAATTTAAAAAAACGAAGCTTCTATGTTTAAGCTTATATGATTAAGTTATTTATTTATGTTTTAATTTAAAACACAGAAATACACAAACGATTTGCATTGCATCTTGGGTAACGTAGTCCTGCTATTGACGTTTTTTAACATAAAGAACACAAATAATTTGCTTTGCATCATGGGGGCTTGAGTCCTGCTATTAACATTTTCTTTTGAACACATAAAGCAAAAAAACAGCTACTTGGATATAATTGATGTAGGGGAAGGACAAATAGAAATATGGGAAAATTTAGCAAATGACACATCAATATTAAGGAGGATGATAAGTACCAATAACAAAAAATCTAAGAAGTACATCCTGGTGGTATGTAGAAATTAGTATTATGTAAAAGTCAAATGAATGACACACAGTTACACATAAATAAAATACTGAGAGACAAAATTAATACTCTTCAGAGATTAAAAAATACTAATTATTAAAACCAATGACATAGAACCCATAAAAATATAAAAAGGACAGTAAAAAAGGGGAAAAATCATGAGAAATTATGTCAAAATAAGCATGTAACGGACCGTTTTGCCCAAAAGAGGTTAAAAACCGTTTAGGCGATATTCCCCTTTTTCAGCTGGACAGACATCTACTCCAAGCACCAATCTCCCGAACTGCAAACCCACGAATTCACCAACTCCCGAACTGCAACCAAGGGAGCACTCCAAACTCCCGAACTGGAGACACACGAATAGCTGCTAGCAGACGAACAGGAAAAGCCCCCAAGCAGCTTACACTCCTGGCAATCAGTCTCTAACAGCATACAGTAAATCCTCCCCCAATAATGAGACGACACTTCACTTTGAGGGTTAAGCAGGAACTGACTGGACTGGCACATACAGCCTCTTTTATTCCCAATCCAGAAACTTAGTACTGCCCACAGGGTTTTACATAACAACCAATAACACACGTACATTACAGAAAGACACTCCCACACAAAATCCTCCCCTCTGGCTGTGATATGATTACTGAACACAATGGTTAATCTAATTATCATAGCCAGAGAAATACAGTTTTTCCACATTATTCATAACTTGAAAAGTATGCATCACATTCACATTCACAGAGTCTTCTATCCTGGAGATAATTGGGGAAGTAATCCAATTATCTCAAGGACAGAGGCAAAACTCCATTAGCCACATGGCAGCAAAAGACAATAAAACACATAAAAACATATAACTGTGCAGCCATTTCACAAAACAGGTACATTCAACATATCCCCAGATAGCTCAGATCTGAGCGCACATTATTACTGAATGGTGCTCAGAGCACACACATACAGTTCAATTGCCATGGAGCCAAAGTCTTTCCCATAGTCTTTCATTATACAAATGGGCTCCATGGCATAGCTATCTGGGTAACACTGCTCACATAGGGAAACTACCGAAAGACCCAGCTTTTGGGTCTTTGCAGGGGAAAATCCATCCTTTCAACATGGGGCCATAGTCACAGGGTAGGATGCCGGCAATCAGTCTTCTCCAATGCCCAGTGGCAAGGCTGGTTCCGCCACATTTCTCCCCTTTCCCAAATAGACTAACAAGGTATCTGGCCTCCTGTCGGTCAGTGCCTTGGTTAGTCTAGCAACCCACCCAAAAAAAATAGTCAGTAGTGCAGCCCACCCACAATGAACAGTTACTGTACCTGGGGTAGTGGGTAGCTTGTCCATGTCCAGGGGCTCCACCGCAGGTCTGGGGAGTACTAGCCCTCCGGATCGGTGGGTTGCTGCATGGGCCGAGACCAGCGGTACTCTGCCCTGGTGCCAGCGCTACCACGGGAGTAGCCTGGTTGGGGCTCAGCTGAGGAGAAGGGTTAGTAGGCTCCTCCCTCTGGACCTGGTGTTGCTGCTGGATAGGAAGACAGGCTGTCTCCCCTTTGGATAAACAGCCCTGCTGCAGGGGGACAGGACCGACCGTCCCTACCCCCTGTGGTTTGGGCACAGAGACCACGGTCCCATCTGCACCGTTGTGGGGCTTACTGTCTCCCCTTGGTGGGCTAGGCTGCTGCTGGGGAGAGGGGGTAACAAGCTCCTCTCCCATACACTCTCTCTGCTGTTGGAGAGGGAGACCGACTGTCTCCCCTTTCAATAATTTGTCCTGTTGCTGGGGAGAGGTGATAACCGATTCCTTTCCCTGGAACACTCTCTGCTGTTGGAGAGGGAGACCGACTGTCTCCCCTTTCAATATATTGTCCTGCTGCTGGGGAGCAAGACCGACTGTCTCCGCTTCCTGCAGGACACACTGCCGCTGGGGAGGAAGGACTGCACCTTCCGCTCCCTGGGAAACATACTGCCGCTGGGGAGGAAGGACAGCACCTTCAGCTCCCTGGGACTCACTGGACTGCTGGGGAGAGGGACCAACTGTCTCCTCTCCTAAGGACACATACTGCCGCTGGGGAGGAAGGACGGCACCTTCAGCTCCCTGGGATACATACTGCCGCTGGGGATCTGGGCCAAGCATCCCTGTAGGGCCTGTAGAGAGATCTCGGTCCCATCTCCACCTGCCATCTGTGGGTCTCTCCCGAACCAGTCCATGAGGTCCCCTACTTCTGCATCTGGTAGTGAAGCAGGGGGTACCTCGGCTGCGTTTTCCCCACTGTAGGTTGGCAGGTCTGGGTCCGCCACCCAGTTTTCCTGTTCTGCGTCCATGCTCTGCGGCTGACATGAGTTCAGTAGTTCCACATAGTCCATCTCTAGCTCTCGTTCCATGGCAGATGTCTTCTCCCAGTCCAATAGATCTCGGGCCCTGTAACATCTCACCTCGGTAATGAAAGATAGCCCAGTACCGTGACTCTGCTGGACTGCCAAAGTCGACGTCTTCTGTTAAGGCTTTCCACAACAGGCCAGGGCTAGTGTAGTTCTCCCCCTCCGGCTGGATGCCCTTTGCCCTCCACGTCTCTGGCTGGACATAAAACTTACATTTTCAGAATCAGCATACTCCAAATACAAACATATGTCAAAATCATACATATTGGTCCAGTGGTTCAAAAGTTAAGGAAAAGTCCTATTTGACCAAATGCAGCATGGCTTTTCTGCCCAAAACCAGTTCCACAGAGTCTTCTATCCTGGAGATAATTGGGGAAGTAATCCAATTATCTCCAGGACAGAGGCAAAACTCCATTGAACACATGGCAGCAAAAGACAATAAAACACATGAAAACATATAACTGTGCAGCCATTGCACAAAACAGGTTCATTCAACATATCCCCAGATAGCTCAGATCTGAGCGCACATTATTACTGAATGGCGCTCAGAGCACACACATACAGTTCAATTGCCATGGAGCCAAAGTCTTTCCCATAGTCTTTCATTATACAAATGGGCTCCATGGCATAGCTATCTGGGTAACACTGCTCACATAGGGAAAGTACCGAAGACCCAGCTTTTGGGTCTTTGCAGGGGAAAATCCATCCTTTCAACATGGGGCCATAGTCACAGGGTAGGAGGCCGGCAATCAGTCTTCTCCAATGCCCAGTGGCGAGGCTGGTTCCGCCACAAAGCATTTAGGCCGTGGTCTGTAAATTAAAAACCCACTCAATTTCCAGTTTACCTAAAATGTTCTTAATATTGCCGCCTCTCCACGGTATCTTACATTTTTTTGTTCCTATGCATTTAAGGAGTTTGGGATCTTTATTATGATTGTTTTCCTGGCACTATAGTGCCCTGAGGGTGCCCCCACCCTCAGGGACCCCCTCCTGCCAGGCTCCTCTTCGGCTGAATGCGCATGCACGGCAGGAGCTGCGCGCGCATTCAGCCAGTCTCATAGGAAAGCATTTACAATGCTTTCCTATGGACGCTTGCATCTTCTCACTATGATTTTCACAGTGAGAAGCACGCAAATGCCTCTAGCGGCTGTCAATGAGACTAGATTAACCCATTTATAAACATAGCAGTTTCTCTGAAGCATTCATTAAGCTGAAGTGGTCTGGGTGCCTAGAGTGGTCTTTTAATAAAGTGCTTGGATACAGTGTGGATCAGAAATTCCTTTTTGATATTTCCACAATGTTCTCCTAGTCTCGTTTTAAGGCATTTCGTGGTCATACCTACATACTGGAGGCCGCATGGGCACTCCAGTAAGTAAATCACATTGTTGGTATTGCACCCAAGAAAATCTTTAATATTATAACTCTTGTTGGTTCTATTTGATTTAAAATGGGTGTCTTTGGACTGGGTGGAAGGATCAGTGCTCTTACATACAATGCATCTTTTGCATTTATAAATTCCTTTTATTCCTTCTAAGAACGTACGGTGGGTGATGGGCTTATTTTCTTTAGTATAATTATTAGTTAGAATAGTTTTAAAATTTGGTGCACCTCTAAAAACAATATTAGGTTTCTCAGGTAAGTTTCCTTTAACCCCTTAAGGACACAAGACATTTATTCCAGAAGTTTGGTCCTTAAGGGGTTAAGGAGATCATCTTGCATTAAAAGATGCCAGTGTTTTTTGTCTACTCTTTTTATAAAACCACTTTTGTTATTATAATTGAAGATAATAGGGAGGGAGGGGAGATCGGATGATTTTTTTCTCTTTGTAGGTTAAAAGATTATCCCTTTGTTGATTTTTAATATCCTCTATAGTGTTATTTAGTTTAGTAGGAGAGTAGTTTTTTTCAATAAATCGATTCTTTAAAATGAGAGCTTGATCATTAAAATCATCTTTCAAGCCACGGTTTGAACTAACAGCTTGTTTGATCAATGGCTGTGTTTGTGCATACTTGTTTAAAAAATGTTTTTGTTTGAATCGTCCCATTTTTGATAAAAATACATAAATCTAAAAAGTTAATAGACTCCTTGCTGTGCTCACAGGATAAAATGATACCTCTATTATTGGTATTTACATGTGTAATAAAAGAGTTGAGAGAGTCCTCAGAGCCTTTCCATACAATAAACGAATCATCAATGTATCGAAAATAGGAGACCAGGTTTGTCTCCCAGGAATGCCCGCCCCAAACAGCACTGGACTCCCAGTCTGCCATAAAGAGGTTGGCATAGCTGGAGGCAAACCTGGTTCCCATAGTAGTACACCTCTTTTGAAGGTAAAAAGAGTTAAAATAAAATAGTTATTTTTTTAAATCATATTAATTCCTTCCAAAATAAAATCTATTTGGGTGTCAGGAATTCTTTTCTCATGAGTTAAAATAGTCTTAATAGCTTGGCAACTTGTCTTGTGAGGGATAATAGTGTATAGAGAAGTGACATCACATGCCACTAGAATAAAATCTGGTTGCCACTTGCCAGTTAAAATTGTTTAAAAATCTCAATAGTGACATGGAGTCTTTTAAGTAGGACCTCATTAACTTTACCAACGGTTGGAGTAAAATGTCGATGTATTGGGATAACATAGAGGGGAATTGATTCCTGACACAAATGATCTACCTGGAGGGGATTTTATGTTCTTGTGTATCTTAGGTAAAAAATAAATAATGGGGATTTTTGGATCTTTAATATTTAAAATAATATCCCCCAAGGCTCCGTCCTTGGTCCCCTTCTATTTACTCTTTATACTGCCTCTCTTGGCAAACTTATTACCTCATTTGGTTTCCGCTACCACCTGTACGCTGATGACACCCAGCTATATCTCTCCTCCCCGGACCTCTCCCCTGCTGTCCTGCAACGTGTCACTGCTTGCCTTTCTTCCATCTCTGACTGGATGTCCTCCCGCTTTCTGAAACTCAATCTCTCAAAAACTGAGCTCCTTGTCTTTCCTCCTCCTAATACTGATTCTCCTCTTTCGCTCTCCCTTCAAGTTTGTGGTACCAACATCAGCCCATCCTTGCAAGCGCGCTGTCTTGGCGTCATACTTGACTCTGGTCTCACCTTTGAGCCTCACATCCAGCATGTTGCCAAATCCTGTAGATTCCATCTTAAAAACATAGCCCGCATCCGCCCCTTTCTTGCACCAGATACTACCAAGGAGCTTGTCCATGCTCTAATAATTTCACGCATGGATTATTGTAACCCTCTCCTGCTTGGTCTTCCCAAAAGCCGTACTGCACCCCTACAGTCTGTAATGAATGCTGCTGCTAAAATGATTTTCCACTCTAGTCGGTTCTCTCACACCTCACCCCTCTGCCAGTCCTTACATTGGCTTCCTGTGTGCTATAGGAGTCAATTCAAGGCACTAACTCACACCTATAAAGCACTGAACAACTCTAGCCCCTCTTATATCTCCTCACTAATCCACAGGTATGTCCCTTCTCGGTCTCTCCGCTCTACCCGTGACCACCTCCTGTCCGTTGTCCGCACCCGTACGGCCAACTCGCGCTTGCAGGACTTCTCGCGGGCGGCTCCCTTCCTATGGAATAGCCTGCCTACCGCCATCCGACTCTCCCTTAGTCTTGCATCTTTTAAGAAGTGCCTTAAAACCCATCTCTTTAGGAAAGCTTATGGCCTCCAAGACTAACCCCTACCTCACATACCCATCTCTTGCCCTCTCCTAAAGGGCAGCCCACCTTATTTGATTGTACATTCCTGTCCTAATGTGTCTTACACCCCACCTCCTATAGAATGTAAGCTCGATTGAGCAGGGTCCTCTTCAACCTATTGTTCCTGTAAGTTTATTTGTAATTGTCCTATTTATAGTTAAATCCCCTTTCATAATATTGTAAAGCGCTACGGAATCTGTTGGCACTATATAAATGGCAATAATAATAATAATAATAATAAAAAAAGTTAAATTCATGTTTATTTAAAATTTGTAATTCTAACTGTTTTTTGAGAAGAGAGGATAATTTTTCTTGTATTTTGGGAGTGGGGTCTGCTGTTAATTTTTCATAGAATTTTCAGAATCATTCAGTTGTCTATTGGCTTCCTCTATGTACATGATACCAGATTGTATCACCAGACCCCCTCCTTTATCAGATGGTTTGATGACAATATCTTTGTCATTTTGTAGCTGTTTTACTGCAATTTTTTCAGAATTAGTCAGATTATTAAAATTGTATTTATTATAGCTAATTTTGTTGACAGACTACGTGATTTTAGCAAGGAGGCTGAACAACTTACGCAATTGAGGACACTACACCCAGAAACCAGCACTCCATAAAGACATTTACCTCTGTGTGCGACTTTGTTTTTGGCTTTTATTTTATTTTTTGGTTATCTCATCTTTTGGTGATTTTATAAGAACTTTTGTCCCACTGAGTTAGTGAGACTATACTTATTATATTGTCTTAGGACTATTGTATATACTATTATTACTACTTTATTATTAATACCTACCTCTTGGCGCAGCCCTTCTTCTGTTTTTTGTGTCACATGTTTTATCTTCAGAGGGTTTGAGGGTTACCCTTTGTTGGGCCGCTGCTTACATTCTATTTATATTAGCGCTGACCCTTCTCCCACTCTTTTTAGTATGACCCATCTAATCTGCCCAATTTTCTAAATACTTCCATTAGTCCCTGGCCTTATTTTATAGTTAAGATAGCCTTATGCCTATCCCACGCATGCTTAAACTCCTTTACTGTTTTAACATCTATGACTTCAGCTGGAAGGCTATTCCGTGCGTCCACTTCCCTCTCTGTAAAGTAATATTTCCTGATATTATTTTTAAACCTTTGCCCCTCTAATTTAAGACTATGTCCTCTTGTTGTGGTAGTTTTTCTTCTTTTAAAGGATCACTATATTGTCAAACAAAGCGGTTTTCCTGACACTATAGTGCCCTAAGGGTGCCCCCACCCTCAAGGTCCCCCTTCTGTAGCACTGAATGGGTTAAAACACCTCCAGCAGCTTACCTTTATCCAGCGCTGGGCTCCCTCAGCGCTGGTAACCTCTCCTCCCCCGTCTTCATCAGCTCCCGAGTGGAGCGGAATGCGCATGCGCGGCAAGTTCCGCGCGCGTATTCAAACTCTCTATAGGAAAGCATTTCTCAATGCTTTCCCATGGACGTTCTGCATGCTGACAGGAAGACAGCCACTAGAGGCTGGATTAACCCTGCTATGTAAACATAACAGTTTCTCTGAAAACCGTTCTCTTAAAACCTGAGGGACATGGCACCCAGACCACTTAATTGAGTTAGAGTGGTCTGGGTGACTATAGTGTCCCTTTAAATATAGTCTCCTCTTTTACTGTGTTGATTCCCTTTATGTATTTAAATGTTTCTATCATATCCCCCTGTCTTGTCTTTCCTCCAAGCTATACATGTTAAGTTTCTTTAACCTTTCCTTGTAAGTTTTATACATTGTGCATTTGTGCTTACTAGACTTGGGAATTTGTTTCAATATGAACTGCAATTTAGACAAATTTGGGCCTATTGGTTGATCGGGCAAAATTCTGATTTCCGAGCTGCCATGTGCCACAATCTTGAGCAAGCCCGAACATCGGTTCAGATCTTGATTCATAGTGTGGATCCTGGCACCAGAGAAGAAGGGATGGAGCGATGAAAAGTCTGTTTTTTTTTTCTTATGGGGTAAATAAGCAGCTTAGTTTGCCTTTATGGGCTAAAAGGTCTACCCAATCATGTGGGATGGATCCCCTATCCAATCAAGAGAAAAGATGACAGATGGTTAAGAAACAGTCACTAAATAATGATTTTATTCACAGATCAAAAGACAACTGACCAACAAAGAGACAAAAAGTTCAAACTTGTATGAGACCTGAGTGGGGACTAACCAAAGGGCCTGCTACCTGCTTTACTGACAGTTTTCAAACTCTATTTTAGCTTGTGCTCAAAGAAAACATTTAATTGCTGCAAGTAATCTATTTATGATGGTGTTTGACCGTGCTTTTGTCAAAATGTTCACACAGGGATTATTAACAGTTTGTACTTCAAACTAAGAACAATGTAAATAATCATGTCATTTATGCAAACTGGCCCCTTTAATGGCAAGAAACTCAATCCTTTTTTTTTCCAGACAAACTTCTTCTAATGTATGGTGTTGGTGCAGGACACCCATTCCATAAATTCCATTCTGGAATCAACATGCAGAATGATTTTCGGCAATATTGGAATAACTGAAAATAACAAAATGCCAAAAGATATTGTAGTTCTTTAACACTCTTTGGTCAATACCAACATATAGCTGTCTCCACTTTTAAGATCAGTTACTTCCTATCAGCTGGTACTATAGAAGCTACATAAATTACTTAAGTTTACGCAGACTCGCTCTTGTGTAGACAAAACATTAATCGTTTCAACAGTCAATGCTCCTATGTTCATGAGACTTTCCAAAGATTATCTAGTAATCTCGAAAGACTAAACCCAAATATTCTCAGGGATTGTAAAACACCAAATAGAAAAATCATGGTAGGTATCGAAATTTCCGTTTACGTGTCTATGCCAGCGATCATCCAAGAGTTGTCTTGCAAGAGCTATATCATGAGTGCCCCCTTGCCCTATTATTTTCCTGTATGTTATATGTTTCTATACAGTATATGTATATAGATATGTATTTATTTCAATGCATTTATTATTACAATTCAAGAATGTGATATGGTTAATTAAGATGGTTTCATGACCTTCATCTGTCCGCCACTCGCAACCGTACTACCAACTCACGTTTTCAGGACTTTTCCTGTAGAATAGCCTGCCTACCACCATCAGACTCTCCCCTAGTCTTCAATTGTTTAAAAAGTGCCTTAAAACCCATCACTTCAGGAAAGCGTATGGACTCCCAGAGTAACCTCTACCTCACATACTCTTGCTCTCTCCTAAAGGGCAGCATTCTACTCTCTCACCCAGCTCTGCCTCACTCCCACCTTGTTTGATTGCTACCTCCTGTCCTGTTGGGTTTTACACCCCACCTCCTATAGACTGTAAGCTTGTTTGAGCAGGATCCTCTTTATCCTATTGTTCATGTAAGTTTTTGTAATTGTCTAATTTATTGGTAAATATCCCCCTTTGATAACATTGTAGACCACTACGGAATATGCTGGTGCTATATAAATGCAAATAATAATAATAATAATAATAATGCTATTTCTTTGCAGTAGTGTATTTTTTGGGTAAGGTATTCTCCTTTAAAAGGAATATATCTGTATGCCTGTGGCGTGTGACTACCCTTAAAGTCACAGCGTACAAGATACTAGAGCTGGTAAACTAGCCCTGTTAGATGTGAGTTGCCAGCGAGATCATTATTATTTACTTTCTGCAAATTTAAATATTTTCTATTTGAAAGAATCTGCATTATTATTCTGTATTTATATGCTCTCTTTTTTGTACAGTTCTATGGTCTTGAAGAGTTCTCCCAGTGCTTTCTAAGAGTATTCATAAGTATTTATTACCTATGTGGTGGTGTGAGCACTGTTGAGAAATTGTGTTTAAATGAAAAGGGTTCCACTTTTTATCTTGTTTGTTTACATTTAACCCTAAACTTAACCCTAAAATGTATAGGTCCCAGTACTGTAATGCACCACCTAAACCCTAAATCTCCCTTTAACCCTCAATTTACTTACCTTAAAAGACCTGATCAAGCAGCGTCCTCAACCAGCATGTACTAAGGTTGGTGCAGAATCAGGTAGGCAATCTTTATGGATAACCTACATGTGCATGACACTTGCATAAAGCTCTGTTAGCTTTGGTACCCAGACTTGGGCACTATATGTACATGTACATGCAACAAAATCCTCCTGTTTTGCCTCTAAAAGTGTTTTTTTTAAGACTAGGGGCTTGTAAACCTTGGAAAAGAATTATGTGTTTCATATATTTTTCAACTATGACCAATACAATAATATCATAGTCACATAGAAAACTCTATAGAATATAGATAAGTATATTAACTGGAATATATATATATTAAATCAAATGTTGCACACTGTAATAAATAGTTATATTTAAAGGGATTGTAGAAAAGCTCCTTTGGTTTGACTTTAAACTCTGAATCTAATGTGTTATGGGCTTTATTCAAGAACTGTTCTACATTAAACATTATATTAGAGGATGCTTAAAGGATATCAATAAATGTTCACGGCTTAGCTACAAGAAAAAGAATATGATTTTCAGTTATTGCCATTTTCTGTATTAAGGTAGAAAATGATATAGTCTTGAATGTTTGTGTAATGGGAGCAGTTAATTCACTTGGGGTATAAATGGGATAATTCCTGTTGCTTTCAAACGGTTCTGGATAATGAGTGGCTCAGTGTAACTATCTATCACCATGAAGTACAATCAAGCTGGAAGACTGGGATAACGAGTAATTGCTTTTTCTTTTATGTTTCATCGAACACCCTGTTGTGTTTGGATAGCAAGCTTGTGTATTAAACGTGCAAGCGGTAGAATTTTACTATAGGAATCTAAAAATGGAATCTGACGACTCCCATTGCTAGAAATTTAAAGGAAAATTGTAACTGCTATTTCTTAATATTTTTAAATATTTTTTAAAAAAGGGCCTTCAATGAATTTTTGTCTTTGAAGGATACCGACAGGTCACTTGACCATGGTAGGAGGTGACAGGTTTGACCTGATATATTTCATATGCAATTTGAAATTGCAGTGTATCTGTCTCTGTAAGCTACCTCTAAATTGACATTTCAGGTATTGTACACATGTGTAACTGTTGTGTTCTCCATGTTGCTTTATAATATTGTAATTATATTGCTTATTTGTCCTTCAATAGGTGTGGTTGATTAATGAGGAATCGTTAACACTGCTTGCACAAGTCACCTCAAGCCATAAGACGTATTTGTGTTGGTTGTTCTGCTTATGCATTAAGCGTTTATGGAGTTGTTTGTTAGATTAGCCTTTTTTTTTAATTCTTTGTTGGAACGGGGTGGCCGTCCACCAACCATCCACTACTCCATCCATCTGGACCATCCAGGGTTTTTAATTCTTTTTTTTAGTTTATTTTTTTATTCACAGATATGGTAATAGGCGGTAAATTACATAGGTATGCACATAACAGAGAGGAACAAAACATATTTCTATACAGATAAATCATCAGAGCAAATAGGCTATGGACTGAGTTTTATGATATTGTAGATAAAAAGGAGTGGTCTTAGAACCCCCCACCAAATATGTCAAGTTGAACCAGATGAGTTATGACTGTTATCCAAACATAAGGTGGGGCATTTCATGAAAAGAAGAGTGCAAGTGTGAAATGGTTGGGTAAAGCTGATTTAACTACATTCCTTCAGATAGATGAGGAACACGAAAGAAACATAACAATTACCAATGAGCTAAGAGTGGGGGGAGGTATATTTGTTTTGCATGCTTGTTAATTGTCGACATCGATAAAATTTTCCCTTGTTTCTTTCTTCTTTTTTTTGCCTGTTTTTCCTTATTTAAAAACAAGTGCAAAAGGTAATCGAAGAAAACCCCCCCAAAAAACAACAAAGCAAAACACATCTTCTAGTAGTATAAGATATACTTACACCTATGATGGAGCGCTAAAGTGAAAGATTAAAGGGGAAATTACTCCACGTATATGTTGGTATGTACAGAAGTATATATCCAGTACATAAAAAACAGCAGAGGACAGACTATAGTGCAGATAGTAATTGAAAATAAGCAATATATATTTTTGAGGTCAGGTCACTAACATGTAATGGAGCCTATATACACTGCTCAAAAAAATAAAGGGAACACTTAAGCAACACAATGTAACTCCAAGTCAATCACACTTCTGTGAAATCAAACTGTCCACTTAGGAAGCAACACTGAGTGGCAATCAATTTCACATGCTGTTGTGCAAATGGGATAGACAACAGGTGGAAATTATAGGCAATTAGCAAGACACCCCCAATAAAGGAGTGGTTCTGCAGGTGATGACCACAGACCACTTCTCAGTTCCTATGCTTCCTGGCTGATGTTTTGGTCACTTTTGAATGCTGGCGGTGCTTTCACTCTAGTGGTAGCATGAGACGGAGTCTACAACACACACAAGTGGCTCAGGTAGTGCAGCTCATCCAGGATGGCACATCAATGTGAGCTGTGGCAAGAAGGTTTGCTGTGTCTGTCAGTGTAGTGTCCAGAGCATGGAGGCGCTACCAGGAGACAGGCCAGTACATCAGGAGACATGGAGGAGGCTGTAGGAGGGAAACAACCCAGCAGCAGGACCGCCACCTCCGCCTTTGTGCAAGCAGGGACAGGAGGAGCACTGCCAGAGCCCTGCAAAATGACCTCCAGCAGGCCACAAATGTGCATGTATCTGCTCAAACGGTCAGAAACAGACTCCATGAGGGTGGTATGAGGGCCCGATGTCCAAAGGTGTGGCTTGTGCTTACAGCCCAACACCGTGCAGGACGTTTGGCATTTGCCAGAGAACACCAAGATTGGCAAATTCGCCACTGGTGCCCTGTGCTCTTCACAGATGAAAGCAGGTTCACACTGAGCACGTGTGACAGACGTGACAGAGTCTGGAGACACCGTGGAGAACGTTCTGCTGCCTGCAACATCCTCCAGCATGACCGGTTTGGCAGTGGGTCAGTAATGGTGTGGGGTGGCATTTCTTTCGGGGGGCCGCACAGCCCTCCATGTGCTCGCCACAGGTAGCCTGACTGCCATTAGGTACCGATATGAGATCCTCAGACCCCTTGTGAGACCATATGCTGGTGCGGTTGGTACTGGGTTCCTTTTAATGCAAGACAATGCTAGACCTCATGTGGCTGGAGTGTATCAGCAGTTCCTGCAAGACTGTTCCGCCTGTTCCCCAGACCTGAATCCAATTGAGCACATATGGGACATCACGTCATGTGTTTTTGTTTTCATGTGCTGGATATAAACTTCTGTACATATCAACATATACATAGGCTAAGTTACCCCTTTAATCTTGTACCACTAGAAGCTGTGTGTTTATTGTGGTGTGTGGAGAAAAGGGTATCCCACACAAGTGTGTAGAGCTGCTATATAAATTATTTCACACCTTAAGCACTTTTGGAGTAACACACTTCCTCCTCAAAGGAGGTTATTTTTTTGGTTTTATTACTGTAAAACAATAGTTGTTAGTTCCAGAACTAATTTTAAAGGAATTTGAACTGCCCTGACTGCTCCCTCACGCTGTGGGGATAGGTAAATCCATCAGCCAACATTACATAACAAAGTAAAGGAAAAAATAAAATATCCAGTGGCCAGGGAAAAAGATAGGAGAAAGCAACAAGTGATGCATATTTGTAACCTAGCTCTCCAGGCAATTAAAGTAGTGAGGTTTAAATCACAACTATATAATGCTCCTCGGCCCATAGGGAGGCAGGAGACGTGAATATAGGACAGCATATGCAAATAATTAAAAAATTTAAAAAATTTAAAAAGTTAAAAATTATGACAAACATAAAAGGTTTAAATATATAAAAAAATAAAGACTATGTAATAAACAGGTCTGTCACTGCTGGCTGAAATTAAAGGGTCAAGTAATGACAGCAGCATAGGCATTTATTGTGGGCCCCTGAGGAAGAAAATCACAGTAGCCGGATTCCAACATTGTGGAGCACCAGCAGTGCATGGGACATCCTCCACCGGTAATTGATGTTATGCAAGCCGAGGAGGGGCTGAAGAGATCGTCACCATGCCAAGGTATTCCTTGATAGAGAGACTCGGCATTGCAGAAAAGGTAATTTGTTAATTTTTTCAATTTTTAATTTTTTTCAATTTTACATGTGGGGAGACCTAATTGATAAGGGGCATCAGGGCTGTAGCGATAGGAGTACAGATATATATTCCTAATGCTACAGTGTTACTTTAACTTTGAACTTTGCTACAATGGAATTCTCTATGATTAGCTTGTTACCATATGAGCTAATGATACCATACAATGTTGGTTTTTTATTTAAAAATACAATATACAACTGCTATCAGGGTTTAATTTACGTATGCATTAAGTATACTTAAAATGTGATTTCTAAGAAACTTGCCTTAGTTGCGCCACCTATTGGGATAAGATGTTCACTAATTCACTTTACCTGTGGATATACTTCTGACACCTGTGTCACTTTAAAGATAGCTGTTCTCCTGGTGTACATTCATCTTCCCATTGAAATGTAGATGAGCCAAAAAAAAATGATCTCATTTATTTCAAATAAAAATGATCTACATATTTAAAATATCACAGGAGTACCTCCAGAAAGGCCGTTTTTAGAACAGGCTTCTCTATGGTCTGGGAAATGTAAATTCTGAACAATATCACTTTTCCTTCTAAACAAATCTGTCATAAAGCAGACATCCTTGGCATACCCTTAGTTTATGGTTTGCATTCCCCAAGCAGGATCATTAGCATTAACGGAAAAGGGTTCAGATTCCTAAATCGTAAGGTATGACAAAAGCAGGACTGGCTGTCATGTTTCTTCACACTAGGGCCAAAAGGCCTACACTAATGGGACATGTAAAGTAAATCGGTTACAAGTGATTAAGAACAGACAAAAGAAGAACTGCACAGATGGCTGGCCTCGTTGACAGCCAAATATGCTCTTTCTTGCAAAAGTTCCAGAAAACCATAAGCTTGCTGTCTGTGAAAACAAGAAATGCTGCTAAGGTCAACCTTAAGGAACTTTTATTCTGTGTGAAATCACCAGCATTGGTTTTGTTATGTTATGGTTATGTTGCAACATAATTTTCCAATATAACAGAGAGCCAGTATCTATTTGTCCCCAGTATAGGACAAGTTTAGTTCCATAAGTTCAATTTAGCAGACTACCAGAAACATTTTCCTCAGAAGAACACAATAATCAGATTTCTACAGTTTCATAGATCACAGAACTCATTTTCTTACACACAAAATTTATGAGAATACCAGAACCCCATTCTCCTGGTTTATGAGAATACCAGAATCCCATGCTCCTGGTTTATGAGAATACCAGAACCCCATTCTCCTGGTTTATGAGAATACCAGAACCCCATTCTCCTGGTTTATGCGAATACCAGACCCCCAATTTCCCCAGTTTAGAGGAGTATGAGGATACATTTTCTAAATTTTAAGATTATAACAGAACCCCTCCTTCTCTTCCCTTCACCATTTAGGAGAACAGCACCTCACCCTTTTTTTACTTCAATTCAATAATGTGCCACCTTTCATCTATCAAATAATACCAACTGGAACATGGAACATGGATTTCAGTCAACCTTTAATCAGCCTAAAACACATATCTGTTTCACCAACAAATTTAAGAGACTCAAAATGGCTTCCACAGAAACTTGGACCATCCAGGGGGCGTGTCCAGCTGTTATTATAGCTGCAGTACAGTCTATGTATTTTGTGTGTGTAATATGTAATATAAAAAGCTAACATATTCTCAGGATTAAGTACATAATTTGTATAACTTATATCTAATAACATAAACCACAAATAGTTCTTGCTAACAGTAAGAATGCTCAGAATGTACTTAAGAAAATCCCAAAAGACATATAGATACAATCACTCATAATGGGCAGACAAGATGGCTCTACAGCAAGCATGTCAAACTCAAAGTCTGGCACGGGCCACATAAACAAGGTTTAAATTTATGTGGGCTGCAAAAAAAAATAATATTACATTTTAATAGAAATGTAGATTTATTTTAAAAAGTACAGTATAAAAAAAAAACAGCATCCCCCTCTACTAAACCACAGCAACCCCCTCTACCACGCTGTTCCAAATCTGATCCTCCCGCTGTTACACACACACTGACACACACACACATACTCACTGACAGACACACACACATACTCACTGACAGATAGACACACATACTCACTGGCAGACACACACACACACATACTCACTGCCAGACACACACACTCACTGCCAGACACACACATACTCACTGCCAGACACACACAAACAGACACACACATACACACAGACTGACAGACACACACACATACTCACTGACACACACATACTCACAGACAGACACACACACATACTCACAGACACACTGACAGACACAGACACACACAGACACACACACACACACTTACACATTCTTGCACACACATACTTTATTTTATTGCTCCATACCTTTTGGTATAGTGATGCCGGGTGCTGGCATATGATGTCATATTCCAACGCCCGGCTTCACTACAGACGGCGCACGCGAGAGAGCAGTGAGGAGCAGGAACACTGAGCTCCCTCGCTGGCTCTCCTCCTCGGCCGGGTAAGTTTTAGCAGAGTAGGCACCTGCAATGTGGGGAAAGCATGCGGCCCGCGAGCCGTAAGTTTGACATGCTTGCTCTACTGCTTTTATTTCCTGTAACATTCTATGTAGATATGAAAATTCTATGTAGATATGGGACTTAGTATAGAATGTAGAGCTTTCAGTGTATGGAAATGAGAAATGCAAGAAGTTATATGGTCATTGAGAGATGTATGGAAAGAGAATGTATGTGCATTGAGAGAAGTATGGCAAGTGGTTATATGGTAATTGAGTGACGTATGGAAAGAGAATATATGGGCATTGAGAGATGTATGGAAAGAGTCTATACGGGCAGTGAAAGAAGTATGGAAAGAGGTTATATGGGCATTCAGACACGTATGTGAAGAGGTTATATGGGCTTTGGGAGAAATATGGAAATAAGTTATATAGGAAATGAGGGAAATATGGAAAAAAATTATGGGCAGAGGGAAATATGTAAGGAGGTTATATGGGCAACAGCCTCAGCCAGCTGACTGGACCCCATGGAAGCCACCTCCTGCTTTCAAAAGGTAGGAAACAGGGTGGCTTAAAAGTGTATATTTTTTTAATGTGTGTCTATATGTGTGTCAGTGTATTAGTCTGTGTATCTATCAGTGTGTCTGTGTGTCTATCTGTGTATCTGTGGGTGTATCTGTTTTTCTGTATGTGTATCTGTCTGTGTGTTTATATGTGTATCTGTGTACCTATCTGTTTGTATGTGTATCTGTGTATCTATCTGTTTGTGTGTATGTGTATCTCTGTGTCAATGTGTGCCCCTGTGTATCTGTGTGTATCTCTCTATCTGTATGTGTGTCAGTGCTTGTATCTGTATGAGTGTCATTTTGTGTATCTGCATGTGTGTCGCATCTATCATCACTCCCAGACCTGTCAGACGGGCAGTCAAAATTCCACATTTTTAACTGCCTGATAACAATTTGGTCCAAATTGTACATGCTACACACACAACTTCAATTGATCTGTCTCTCTCCTACACTCAGCAGTGGAGTCCCTTCTTTGTAAGGTAAGGCTCTGCCCAAAGCTGCACTCAGCTTCTCAGAGTTGTGCAGTTTTAAGTTCTTGGAAGGTAAAGGTATTTCTTTTATTTTAATATGGTTTAATTTCATTTATTTAATTGTCATTTTAATTCTAGACTTGTGAAAGGTGGAAAAAATATTTTGGTGGACCACCTTATTTAAAAATATAATTCTGGACGGCAGAATTCTGTGCATGTGGGGGTTCAACTCATCAGAGTTTTGTTGCCTGAAAAAGAATGGGGAAAAAGTATCAGATGAAGGAAGTGTGTATTGCTAAATATTTACACAATATCAATATAATTATAGGAAGAGCTCAACTGAAAATGAGTAGTAAGTAGTGTGGTATTTCATTTCTCCTGCTCTTGGTCAGTATTCCTTTTTAATGGGTGTTTGCATTTAGCACTTTATTATTACTGTGGTTTTGGTTCTATAAATTGATTATGCACTATACAATGCACTTTCTGTCAAGATATTTTGATGTACTCTTTATGCATGAATAAACGCTTTTCTTATGTACAAAACCTTGGTGTGCCTTTGCAGTACATTGATAGGCACATTTTGCTCCATTTGGTTCATTTAATGCTTTTGTTTTGGTGGACAAAATTCTGATGAGTTGAACCACCGTATGCACAAAATACTGAGAGAAAGAGTAACCAACGAGAAAATGTTACTGCTCCTTTGGTTACTTCAAACTTGATCTGTGAGCAACATTTAGTGGCCGTCCCCTAGCCATTAATACTGTTTTTTTTTCTGTCAATCATCTATTTTTTTTTGGTGTGACTTGCGTAACTGAATCACAAATCAAATGAACATTCTAAAACATTGCGCAAGTCATTTGTTTTTCGTGATTAGTCTATATGGCATTGGGAATTTGGGAGTTTGAACAGTCACCTCACTGTCTCAAATCTGTTTGTAACAAAATGAATCACCAAGCTTTTTAAATTATTTATTTTTTTATTTAATAGTCAAACAGAGTATTGTTTGACTAGTATTGATTCAATCATCACCTCATGGAGTCAGCCTTGTGTAATAAAGAACTACCCAAGTGTCAATCAACGTTTCAGTGCTAGAAGTTTGCCACTGGTTTGTAACATGCTGGCATGTAAAAAGGTTAGACATCACTAGCTAGTTATTAAGTGGACATGAAGTCTTTACATACACTTACACAATATACCATGACCAGTTTCAAATGGTGTGGCATCTCCTTTACAGATTCATGTTATACATGTCTTACATATATACAAATATCCTGGGATGGTTTACCCATTAGAGAGATTATAGGCGTCTGTCTAAAAGTACATGCCCTGTGGGGGCGCTGCAGGTACTTACCTGTTAAAAGCCTCCCTCACTGCTTCCACAGTGTTTGCTAACAGAGAATTGAGCAGTGAGACTGTAGGGGCATGACTTATTCAATAAAAACAGCTTAATGAGCTAAAGTTGTTTTGCTGCATTGAATATCTCTATTATCTAAGAAATTTTTCAAAAGCACTCTAGTGATTAGAAAGAGAAAGCAAATTCTTTAAATACATTGTATAGATCAGTAGTTCGTACAGGGGAACTCCCGCTTTCATGGAAGTTGCAGTAAATAGCAGAAAATTAGAAGCACAAACCATATTTAACTTTGTCGGAGCTAAAAGCAACTGGGTACCTATAGGTTGAGCAAAACCCTCAGTAGTGACATGTTCCCCACGCGTTTTCCTTGGATCTCTTATGGCTAGGACAAATACATCAACCTGTATTTCTCAGTCCCCATGTAATCAAAAACAAAATGCACTGGTTAATGTAACTGAACTGCTATTGTGAGACAAAGGAGACCTGTCTGACACTGGAAAATGAAGCAGTTTTGTTAAATTGCTTTTGTTATACACAGTTAAACAGTCGGTTACTGGGGTAATTGTGAAATGGAAGAATGGGTTATACAGCTAATACCATGTAAGTCTATTGGATCCCTGTTACAAAAACAAGCAAACACCCGTTTACACAGAAATTAGATAAGAACAATAAAGACACTCTTTGATTATTCATCGGCAACAGTGTAAGCTTCAAAGGAACACTATATAGTCATCTAAACAACTTTAGCTTAATGAATCAGTTGTTGTGTGTAGATCATGCCTCTAAGGTTTCACTGCTCAATTCACTGCCATTTAGGAGTTAAATCACTCTTTCTGTTTATGCAGCCCTTGTCACACCTCCCCTTGGTCTGATTGACACAGACTGCATGAAAAAAAAAATAGTTTAACGTTCAATCAGATGTAATTTACCTTAAACAATTGTATCTCTTTCTCTGTAAATTTAACTTTAATCACATAAAGGAAGCTCTTGCAGGGTCTAGCAAGCTATTAACATAGCAGGTGATAAGAAAATCTAAATTAAACAGACCTTGCAATAAAGGAAGGATAAACTGTAGATGACTCTTTACATGAAGTGTTTAGGAAGGCTGTGCAAGTCACATGCAGGGAGGTGTGACTAGGGTTAATAAACTAAGTGATTTAACTCCTAAATGGCAGATAATTGAGTAGTGAGACTGCAGGAGCATGATCTATACCAAAACTGCTTCATTAAGCTCAAGTTGTTTTGGTGACTATAGTGTCCCTTTAAATGTTCTTGTGTACTCAGATTGAATATATGTAAAAACCTAAACTGGTAATCAGAAAGTGATTAATGTACTGATTAGTCCACAATATATTAACAGGATAGCAACTATCTGTAACAATTTACACCAACATTTAATGTGTTAAACTGGTATATTCATACTACACCCATATTTTATCAGTAACTTTGTACAGAGTCAACGTACATTAAGAGACGGCTGAACATCTTTACACCATGGAAGGATCTAAAAAGGGGGATGTCATACATTATCATTAATTGAAGAGATATTTCCTGTGGTATCAACAATCTCCAAAAGAGTACGTTTTCACTTTAAGATTCTACCTTGTAAATTGTTCGTATTCTACGATATCATGATTCATGTCTCACCAGAAACAAATTTGCACTTATAAATTATGCCTTTCCAGGTTTAAGTAAGCGTTCAAGAATTGTGTACCCATGATGTTCCAAAACAATTTAAGAAACAAGTTGAGTTGTTTATTTAAATGCACATTATTGATTATTCCAATTCAGCAAAACACAGCATCATTACATGGAGTTAATCTTTCCCTGTTGTATACAATTCTTCCCTTTTTCTCTACTCTTGTACCACGCAGTGTATACACCAATACACGACAGGGCTTTCACCATTGTCCAGCGTTTAGATTCTAATTTTAAATATGGCCTGACAGTATACCACAATTATTTCTATATACAGCATGTTCCTTTTAAGTCGAAATTGATCCGCTCACGCTGGGCACATTGTCTGACATCAATGTCAACTGCAAACCACATGTGAATGCTTTGTATTGAGTCCAAAAGACAAGTCTTTTATGTGATGCTTGTCCATCAGTCTAAGGATAAATATAATGCCAAACTGGCCAAATTATGGCATGTGGAATAGCTAAAACTATGCAATGTTTTTTTTTTTAAATTGTACTGAAGCTAAAACAAGAAGAAATATAAAGACTTGTATCACAGCTCCAGACCTCCTTGTGGCAAATTGTTATATTTGTGGTCATTTTGCAATAATTATTCTACAACATCATTGCTGGCAAAGTTTGAAACATTTCTAGCCAAGCAGAAGCTTAAAAAAGAAATTAACTGACTGTTGTAGTATTTGAAGCACACACAGCTGCTTGGAGGTCTTAAGCGAACCTTTGCTTGTAATTTTTAAAATATCTTTTCCTCTAAAGTATTGCATTCAAATATAAAGGGCCAGTTTCTAGACCCAATTTATTCAAAAATGTAATGTGCTGGATATTACTCGAGACTACAATCCCTTAAAGAACCTTTTATGTCCGAAGTGTGGGTTACGGAATACTATCCCTCCCGACAGCAAAAACACACACAGAAGGAGACCCTGATTAAAACTGACAATTTCCATTTCAGAGACAGGTTTTAATATTTAAAATTGCCAGTAAGGGATCCGAATACTAAATTTATAAAATAGGGCATATGAAATGCAGGGTTCTCAGGATTCAAAACAAGGAAAATTAAGAAAAGTTTATCTTTTGAGATAACCCTGCTACTTGACATTAAAACGCTTACAGGTATCACTCTCATGAAGAAAGCAGGTTGAACAATCTGAAGACGATAACATGATTTTTTTTTCAAAAACACAGATGTCTTTCTTTACACAAAACAGGATGTGGAGTTAAATAAATGAGGCATTCTGATTGGTCGACGTCTGACTGCTGTTGTCAACTAATAAGCATGTCTATAAAATGAGACATTTGTTGTTATTGTAAGACACAACTAAATCACATCAAGATTCAAATTTTATCCATATACAATAATTACATTAAATGCAAAGGCATCTGCAAAGGCAACTGATCGACATCTCCTGCTCCAAACTGTACATGAAGCTTAATTCTTTTGGATTAAGCCATCTATAATGGTTTCTCGTAATCTTTAAATTGTCATGGTACAGTTCACCTAGTAGGTTAAAATCTAAGAATCTACTACCGCCATTTTTCTACATTCCCAATGTAATCAGCAGTTGAATTATCTATTTCTGCTTTGTGGTTTGCATGTTTAGCTCGGAGAATTTTGCGTTGCTCCTGACGCTTCCGTCTTGCTTCCTGGTGTTCTTTTTGTCTCATAAATTGATATCTTTGTAAGAAAAGGTCTTTTGCATATTCATACAATTCCATGTCTAAAAAATTCAGTGTTTCAATGTGCTTCTGCGTCTGGTCATCAATCTCTACACTGGATGCCCTTGTGCTGTTGAACTGAGTAAATGGTGAAATAAAGTTCATGTTGAAAGTCTTCTCAAAGAGATACTGCGTCTTCCTTTGAAATTCTGTAAGCCCAAAGAAAGCCATACGTTTAAGGTTTTCTTTAGCACTGTCTAGGAGAACCTTGTTCCTCTGATCCTCTGGCATCACTGATAAATTATAACATCCAACCAGGCTGAGGTCAGACAGCATACGGACTTGTCTGTTGTTGGCCAAGTTATAAGGACAATCCATGAATTCCTTCAGGGAGCAGCCAGACCAGTCATCTCCAGTATAACAACTAGGAAGCTCATCAGAGGTTGGAGATCTTCCATCACAAACATGTAGAGAGGCTTTCCAGGTCGCACCTCTTTGGACATGTCTCCACTCACTCAAGTATCGAGATACAGGATCACGGAGGATGGTGATATAGTAAAAATTCCTGAAAAATATAACAAAAACAAGTTTTAGTTTCTATGCTTCTGATGGAAATTATTTTTTTGACTTAATGATAATTAAATTATCATCTGCAGAATACATATTTTAAATACACTTCCTAACAGCTCATAAAAATTACATTGCACCTAAGAAAGCTATGCATTGCATGTGTACTTGTACATCACTTATCCATAAAGTGATGTACAAGTACACATACAATGTAATTAAAAACGGTCATTATGTATCTACGAGCACTTAATTCATACTAATACAAATTTTGTTTTCAATGTTCCACTCTGAGAAGCTTCTCCTAGAGACATTAACACAACTCAATATCTTATTATTATGACTTCGAAAAGTAACTTCTATTTTACAAATATGTCTCTTGCTCTCTCCTAAAGGTCCATACTCCACTCTCACTTCCAGTCCTGATACTTTCCCACCTTACTTGGTTGTTGTCCCCCTTAATGCCCTTTCTATTGTATTTTTATACCCCACCTCCTCTAAACTGCAAGCTTGTTTGAGCAGGGTTCATATCATCCTGTTGTTCCTGTAACATTTTGTAGTTGTCTCATTTATTGTAAATTTTTCACCTTTTTCAATATTGTTAAGTGTTACGGAATACGTTGGTGCTATAAATAAATACCAATATTAATAATGCAAACAGTGCTAAGACTTAGTTTTCATAATCAACATTTATTGTTTATTGTAGGACACAATGCTTGTTGTTACATCCTATAAGCAATTATTCAAAATCATTTCTTATGCATCGCCATAATATTAATTAGGCAATTTATAGTTAATGTTTACTGAGCCAACAATGCAACATACAGCACATCACAAGGATAAAACTGGTAATTAATAAATACTGACAGTACAAATAGATAACGTTGTGTCGCAAAGCCCACATCTCGTTTTCTAAACAATCTTATAGAGGTCATTAAAGCTCCCATCAAGGAATGAACAATTCTTAGGCTAACACATAATTTCTAATTCTGTTAAAAATAGATTTTAACTACACCAAATATACTTAATGTGTAGGTGATAAACCCAACCGCCCCAAAATCAAATGACACTTACCCCTTTTATACACCTGGGTACCATACATATATGTAAAACAAAAAGCAAAGCAGAGAATAGTGCAGTATTGAATGGAATAGCTATGTGAATATGTAATACAATGATGGTGAGTAATGAACATTCACATTTGGGGGGGGGGAGCTTTTAATGGAGATAGGCTATAAACAAAAGGACCTTTGCCTATGCTTTTAAAGCGTCATCCCAACCTTCCTGAACAGCTGTTTGATATATATACCTCCAGCGATACGTGAGACAAGAGATACAAAAATGGAGAGCAGACCTTGTACAATATTATAGACCCAATATGTTATATACCAGGGGTGCCCGAAAGGTAGTTCCCCAGATGTTTTAAAACTACAACTTTCATGATGCCTTGCCATTCTTAAAGCATGCAAAGACATGCAAAGCATCATGGGAGTAGTAGTTCTACAACATCTGGGCATCGACCTTTTAGGTACCCCTGTTATATATAATATGCCGAAAGTATGTGCTCACCTTTAATAGGAGCCCATAAATTACAGGTATATTTCAATATCAGTGTCTGCAGTGCTAAATGCGTCCAATGAGAATTTGTTTTTTTTCAAAGTTGTTAATTGCAAAATGGATTATGATGTGCTAAAAACATCCTCTGTTTGCTGGAGTATTCACATTTCACTATGCATACATCTGCTAATGGAAGTATTATTTAAAGGTGACTGCAGTCAGCTAACTTAACTCACATATGTATTTGCTTGATTTTCTGACTTTTGACCACTAGATGTCAACATTGAGCTTTGATTATGTATTACATTTACAGTCCATTCATCTACGCAGCACATATTGAGTGGTTCTTTGTGCACCATAAGCACATTCAGTTTTTATTAGAAATGCTAGATAGGTTTAGTGAGATATAACTGGAACACCACAGTGTGCAATGTCTAAATGCATTAGGAAGGTTCCGTGCATCATTAATCTTTAACCATGCGGCCCAGCCCAATGTCATCCAAGGTATACCCTGTGTATGAACGCATTATATATTGCAATGGCTGACCACAAATAAAAAATCATATATCAAAGCTGCCGATAAAACACAAAGGCAGCAGTAGGAAACAAGATGCATTTATGGAATTACAAGAAGGATTATGGGAGTTGTTATTTAAAAAGAACCTCTGGTCTAACTGACCTAGATTAAAAAAACAAAACGATTTTGGGCTCCTGTCCCGATTCAGTTCCACGATGTCCCAGCATCTGGGGACACCAAGGGACCATCATCAGACAGAACAGTGCGAGCAGTGCTCCCTACATGGTCCTTGCAAAACAGCTTTTTTAGCGGGCACGCCCCTTAAAGACATCGCTATTGCCATGGGGAATGTCACTGGTGATGTCATTCCACCCACCCTTTTCTGATTATCCTGGCACAATTGTTGGAAGGTATACAGTAGGCTCAAGGTGCACTATGCACCATTATGCACACAATAATGCTCCCTCCCAGTCCTCCATGTGTCTCATTCCACCCCCTCCAGCCTTACATTCCCACCCCTCCATGTTTCTCAATTCATCCCCCCAGTCCTCAATGTGTGTCAATCCATTCCCCCAGCCCTCTATGTGTCTCATTACCCCCTCCTTGCACTTTATGTGTCCCTGTTGTGATGGTGCTTATTTTGACACTTTAGTTCACTGCAGACTTGAAAAATGCTACAGTGGTCTGCAATTTATATTGGTTAGAAAAATAACACTACAATTTAAAATCAGGTAAGGTATACCTTAACTTAAAGGGTTACTGCAACTTCCGTGACCATCTCTGCTTTTAGAAGGGGTCATGGTGGTAGGAATCTGGATGTGCAGCAAGGGGAGCTTAGCTTATGCTTATTTTACAGGTTTATATGGGAGAGGAGAGGGGTGGGACGACTAATTACTAATGCCCTATTTTTTAATTTTAAAAATGTTTCTGTAAATAGGGTAGTATAGCAAGATTTCCTAGTTAACTGCTGATTTGATTAAAATCTGTGCGCTTGCTCTAAAGTGCTTTTATTTCCCTTGTTACATTCAAATCACACATCTCTTGACTCAAAATATTCCTATCACAATGTTCTGTAATAAAACTACAAATTACTGATTAACTGTTATAATATGTGGGAAAAATATTAACATTGTAATGGTTAAAATGAAGACTCCACGTTGTCTTTAATTCCAATTCTAAAAATAATTGCTGCAGCTCTAAGACTGCCTCTGAAAGCTGTCAATCAGGCCATGGATCTGGCTTATTATTTTCAATTTTGTCCAAGTTGTTCATACGGCAAAACTTGCGACGCACTCTTTCTCTGCTCATTAGAGAGAGAGTCAAGCTGCTGAATGTAGCTCGGCTGCTCAGTGCACACAGGCCAGTTCACTAAACTGTGAAATGGACAATGTGTAAACTGAGAGAACCTGTGCTACACCTGCTGTCAGTTTATAGAACAGCTATGAGTAGAATTCCTCATTAGGGAACTCTTTAGGACCACCTCTTCCTGATGAAGGTAGAGGGTGTAGCTGTAGGAAAATAAGTACATCTGCAGGGAACTATAAAGGTAAGTATTCATTTAAACTGCTATTTATTTATTTCATGTTCACATTCTATGTTATGCATCATTTCCCCCTTATAGTTTCCCTTTAGAAGAACGTATTAAAAAGAACAATCATGATTGATAAAATGATGTGGTCTTAAAACCATGATGCATTCAGCTTCACTTACTGTCAACAATATTACAAAACTGCCTGCATCAAATTTAAGTATCGTTTTGTCAATCACTATGAAAATTAAGAATTCTCAATCCATTGTCTATAAAACTCTAGATAAGTGCAATAATGCCATAATAATGATTTGTTAGTGCTGCAACGTGATCTGTCTTTATAAAATCTCCAGTAGATGCCATTGCTCTGCTGGAAATCCTGCACACATAGTTCATTATATTAATATTTTCTTGCAGTATGGCGTGTGTTTATGCGGTTTCCCAGTACTGAATCGCAGCGTGCTATATCCATTAACCTATGGCACAATGGCATAATTGTGTATACATTACTCAACAGCTGAAAGAAGAATTTCTCGTCATTCACTTACTCAGCTGGTACGGCTTGTTCCTAATAACAGGGAGAAATCACTCTTGGCCTGTGTGTCATGATCATGTCATTGCATAATTACAGAAACAAAGTAATCTTTGTTTTTATAGTTTGTGTGTGGAGTTTTGTACAAATTGTTGTCTTTGGGATATTTAATCATTAGAGGGACAGAGAAATATGCAAATCTTTGCAGCACAATGTTTAGGTCAACATTCTGGAATGCCGAGAATCACTGGAATGTATTCACTCAGTGGCGAAAGGGAGCCGACTGGTATTTGGTTGTCCAAATTTGACAGTTTACTATGCGAAACCTATTCAGCTATTCACAGAAGCCAGATCTCTTTATTTGCACTTTCTATCAGTTGCCATTCAGTTAGCTGATAAAACCAGACAATTTGCATAGGTTTGCTAATTAGGTTATTCTCAAACAGCCAGGCTGTAACTGAATTTCTGGCATCAAGAAGGTATTGTTTTCCTAGTTGGTTGCAAAATTGGAAGTGCTTGAAACTGGGGTTTTTTTGTGCTTAATTTTGGATCAACAGCAAATGTGAGAAAGGCTGAGCTTGATGAACACATGTCTCTGTAGCCTATGTAACTATGATACAGAGCTGCCCTATTACCCCCTATTGGGTACCATTTTGCATCTCCAGCCTTCAATAAAGGGGAGAATGAAAACAGGAGTTATAATCATGACAGATACACGGTTTTTCAACACCACCTTATCAGTAGTTTATACAATGCCAATAGATTTTATATATATTTTTTTTTGCTACAAAAACTGGGGGGAGAGATTGCCGCACCACCTACTCTTAAAGACCAGCCTGATTATAGCCCAAGTGTAAAACATCCCTTACCCTACCTTTTTCCGGATACCATGGAAATCTGGTTGTTCACTCAGGGCCAGTGCTAGGATTTGTAGCTACACAGGCGAAGATGCATTTTGGCGCCCCCCACACCCCTTAAAAAAAATGCATCTTTACCTGTGTGTTTTGTTGTAATTACCCCCCTTTTTGAATTTCTTCATCCTTTTTTTGCTTTAGTGTATCTTACCCCAGCCCCTTTATGTGTCTATTACCCCAATCCCTTTTTATGTCTCATTCTTACCCCAGCCCCTTTCTGTTTCTCATTCTTACCCCAGCCCCTTTCTGTTTCTCATTCTTACCCCAGCCCCTTTCTTTGTCTGTACAGAGGGACTGTGGTGGAGAAGGAGACAAAGAAAGGGGTTGGGGTAAGAAAGAGACACAGAAAGGCGCTAGGGGTAAGCCCCTAGCCCATTACTGTGTCTCTTTCTTACCCCAGCCCCTTTCTTTGTCTCCTTCTCCACCACAGTCCCTAGTGTGGCTCTTTTCCCCTCAGTCCGTTTTGTGTTTCCCTACCCTCCAGATCCATTTGTATGTCTTTCCTCCCAAGCCACAGGGACACAGGCATACAGAGACACAGAAACATATATACAAGACATAAAGGCACATAAATACATAGAGAGACATACATACATACATACATACATGCATACAGAGACATACATACATTAATACAGAGACACACATACAAACATACAGAGACATACATACATGCACACAGAGACATACATACATGCACACAGAGACATACATGCATACAGATACATACATACAAAAAAAATACATACATAAACACAGAGACATACATACATACATAAATACAGAGACATACATACAGAGACATACACATACATGAATACAGAGACATACATAAATACATACAAAGACATTCACAATTACATATTTACATGCGTTCAATCTGGTCCCTGGGGTACATGCTGTCCAGCTCTGTGGAGTCCCTTCCTGCAGCCCAGCCTCATCACTGGGCGCCAGCCGCGCTGTCTGGTACACAGGGAGCAGGGATAAGATGTCATTCAAATCCTCGCCCCCCTCCACACAGCCTGCGGCAGACACCAGGGTAGGAGGCTGGGCGGGTGGGAAGAGGCCGGGCTCCCCGGGCGGAAAGCTCTAGGCTGCGCTCTGCCACGCTTCAAGTAGTAACCGGCTGGAGGGGAGTGCAGTTAACTACCTACATTTAGCTGTATTGCAAAATAGCTAAAGATTTCATAGAATCATTTTCTCTTTCAATACAGTAGCTTCAGTTTTCAGAAACCATCTATCTTTTCTATGATACAAAATGGATACTGTTTATCACTGAGAAACATTCTAAGAATAGCTCTGAAAGACATTGTATGCGTTTGTAAGGTTCACAGATCAAAATGGCTGTTGGAAGTTGTCACTATGGCCATTTTAATACTTCCCCACAGTGTACATTTTACGTAAATGTCCTTGTTATAAGCGAGATTTGTCTACCCTACTTTAGTGATACTTGAAATGTTTGCCATTATGATATTTATGGCAGGCATGAACTATTTTACAGGAGTTCTGAGCCACTTGCTGACTACAAGTTAGAAGTATAACAGTGATTTAAACACCTACTATATCTTTTCAGCACAAGGAAAACTTAAGACTTCAAAGAAATTTACTGAGATGGACTGTAAATTCCTGAACAGTTAGATTTTCATGGTAGATGATTTTGGCAGAAAACTACGCAGCATTTTGTGCACACTGGTGCAAAGTTGTAATTGACAGTACATTGAAGATTATACTAGCTTTAGTGTACTAATAATCTTAATTTTAGTAATGACAGGAGGTGAGTATTTTCCCTCCCTGCTTTGCTAGCCCATCCTTTCTGTTCATTTTCTTTTAAGGCGTCACTAGTCTAAGGTAGGTTGGGCTCTTATTGTTTTGTGTTTACATTGATGATTTTATTTCCATTGGTAAGGAATTGTCATTGGAATTGTCATTGTTACATAAGTTGTCCTAATAACTAAGAGGTCCCTAACAGCCTGCGATAGGCAGCCGTGGGCGATAGTCCGCCGATCTGCCAAGAAACCCAGAAAGAATACAGGCCACCAGGGTCAGCAGACCCTCCAGGAATAGAAGATGTGGGTTCCCTTTGAGTCCGTGAGAATAGTAGGATCTGAATGTAGGAGGAGGAGATCCTCGCCAGTCAGCCCCATAAGGTCCAGGAAACAAGGTTGACTCTGTCACAGTCGGACGGCCAAGGAGATGTTATCCAAACATCGAGATGATGGAGAATTTTCGCAATCATTGCAAAGGAGGGAAAGCATACGTCCCACGGGGAGGCCCAGTTGGCTGGATTGCGAACACCTTTGTGCACCATCGTGCCAATTGAAGAACACTGCATTCTGGCGGTTCCTCGGATATGTGTCTCCCCCGGGAGATAGGTCAACCTTGGGGTTCTGCGAGGAAGGCAGGAATCGAAGATGCCTTTTTATGATGTCTGATAGAAGATGGGAGTTAGTTCAGTCCAGGTGATTGATATACATGACTGTCGACGCTCTGTCCATCTGTAGTAGGATGCAACAGATGGAGCACTCCTTTATCAGTCTGCGGATAGTGAAGTTCTAGATCTGCAATGTGAAGGGATAATTCCTGAGTTGTGTATCTGTTTTCGTGGGTGTGCTCTCACAGGTTGTCCTCACAGCCCCACAAGCTGGTATGCAACTCCTGAACAAAGTCTGGTTAATTGTAGGAGTCTGTCTGAGTGAACCTTACCAGGCCTCACTGCATGTTCTGGTAATGTAGCGAGTCTGGGAAGATAGCCCAGATGGAGGAGGGCAGTATCCCATGATCCCACGGTGTTGCAGTAGAGGACCGTGTAAATAATTCTTGAGAATAGAGGAGACCTATGAAGGGGAAAGCTTCCGTATGCAAGGCGCGGAGTCGCTTACGAATCCTAAGAAGCGGATCATCCACTACGAAACATGACGATTCCATCTGGACTACGGAGAATCTCGAGTGTAGACACAGTCTTGAGTTCCCTGAATCGACCCGCAGGAGATTGTCCAGGAAGATAATGACACATCATCCACATACGTAATTGATCTCTGGTTTGATAGTTTCATGAAGCCCCCCAATCCAAGCTGAGGGGTCAGGTGAAGAGCCGAGGTTGATTGTGTCACAGGAGACCTAGATAACATCGTTAAGAGGGATGGAAAAAGATCACCATGACGTGTCTTTATATCCAGTTGTGCCAGGCCAGTCGTCCAATGCAAAAAAGTTCCTTATTAGGTTTTAATGCCTTATGTATAGATACAATGGAAACTCCTGTGGGCGTAGTAGAAAGTACAGTCGATGGTACCCTAGAGGCGCTAACCTGGGGAAAACAGTACCTAGCGCATCTGCGCATTCTGTGTTCTCTGTCCAATCATCTGGAGCACCAGATGGCCCAAAATGGTTGGCGACATGGCCCCGCTGTCAACCAGCCTTGTAGAACACCCCCCCAGGGAGGTTACCACATAACACCTTCCTTATGGAGGTTTGGGTCTTGATAAGGGAAGCGAGAACATAAATGTGTGTAATAAGCTCCCTCAGAAAAAAGCGTGCCTTGTGTCCCAATGTTTTGGCGCCCAGATCCGCTAACTATCCATCAATATGGAGGAGTGCTGCTATGCGCTTCTGATAGGAGAGGCAAACATTGGTGTTTCTAACGAAACAGGAACATCTCTGAGCCCATTCACGAATATTGTGAGCCCATTTCTGGATAGTGCTGGCATTGTCAGGTATTTTACCCTTGAGAGAGGGTCAATAGAGTCCAGCAATTTGTCTTGGGTGTCTCTGAAACCTCCCCTGACTCCCTTGGAGGGTCGCAGCCACCCAGAGTCACAAAGGTTATCATCCGCTGATCAAACACAGGCGTCTGTGCCACTTTGTCTGGGACGGAAGGGCATGGGCAGTCCGATTGCAAGCGGTTACGGACATATTTATCTAGAGGCTTGCAAAGCCACAGGTGCATAAAGTTGGCCAGGTGTTCGAGAGGGGACCAGTCTCTCGAATGTGGGTAACGGATGTTGAAGGTTACACAGCCATTGACCAGTAGGATCCAGGATCGCTTTCGTGTCTTCTTGGTCAGTAGCGTGAGGCATCGTCACTCTCAGCTACCTGGGGCTCACCCAGAAAAACCTGTACACGAATGCGGGGCCATAACCCCAGTCGTCAGACCCCACTGTCTACACGTGCCTTTGTTCCATGATGGACAGATAATGTTGCAGTCCTCAGCCGCAGAGGGATCTAACCGTGGGGTCAGGGCAGGTGCCGGAGTTGGCATACTGCATTTGGCGGAGGCTTTGTCCTTAGACCGTAGAGGTCTAGTGTCTTCGCCATTCCAGAGGGGCTTGCTATGATGGGGAGACCCCTAAGCGGAGACATCCCAGGCATCAGAGTCCACCCCATAGTGGCCGATACCAGTGAGGGGACCAGCCCTCCAGTCAATACATTTGAGTGTTTTCTCCACGAATGCAGCCACAGTTGTGTGTATCACCCAAAAAAGTAGACAGGTAGATTTATCAAGAAATGGGATACCCCTGTAAAAGGCACAAATTAGTAGGCAATTTCAGGATTCAAGGCAAACCGACCAGACTACCATAGTAGTGGGCAATGCTCACAGAAACCCCTACAGGGTTGTAATCTTAACAGTGCACCAGCATGCCTCCACTCAGCAGCACAGTGCAGTACACATATAGTAGGGGTTTCACCCCAGGTGCATAGGGGATGAACCCTTAAGTGCTGGCCACGGCCCTGACAGAGAGCACTAATCTGTGCTCAAATGGTTAATTCAAGGTTATGGGAGATATTCCTTTAAGCAGTATGTCCTGGAAATCCTGTCCAGTCGTTAACAAAGGCTTTAGCAGCATGTCTCTATACAGCAGCACAGTGTAGTATAAATATATAGAAGGGGGGTTCACCCCAAGTGCACAGGGTATGAACCCTTGAGTGTTGACCACAGCCCTAGAGAGCATTAATCTGTGCTCAAACAGTTAATTCATGGTTATGGGAGAATGGGACATAGTCCTTAAGCAGTATGTCCTGGAAATCCTGTCTAGCAGTTAACAGAGGCTGTAACAGCATGTCTCCACTCAGAAGCACGGTGCAGTAAAAATATAGTAGGGGACTCACCCCTTGAGCACAGGCCACAGTCCTGACAGAGAGCACTAATCCATGCTCTAATAGTTAATTCAAGGTTGTGGGTGAAATCCCTTTAAACAGCTTATATAAATGGCCTAATTCAACATTAACATCCAACCCAAGTAAGACCCAAAAGCACCTCAAGCCCCAGAGAAGTGAGAGCAAGGAGGGGAGAGGGCAGAAACCAAGTATAAGGTATAAACACAATAAATAACATAGAAAAAACACAGCTGCACATAGTACAGAAGCACAGCAAGAACAAACAGCAAAGTATATCAAAAAGGCAATAGAAACATAAATTAATGGAGAAGATGAATACTCTGACCTGT